GCTCAAATCGAACACCGACGAGGTTCTCGAACACGGCTCGACCGCATCGTCCGATGAGTTGGAAGCTGTAGAGACGCTTGAAGAGTGCTGGAGGATCTGGAGAGGTGACGCAAGCCACCTGCTTTGGTTTCGCTTCGATGAGGTCTCTGTCCCTGGTTGTGCGTGTACAGACTGATTAATCCATCTTGCCCGAGACTGATCGTCTTCCAGTATGTGGTTGTGCACTGAAAGTCGAACTGACTCCGCACTGCTACCGAGTTTACTCCAGCCAGCTGGATTACGCAGATCTGCAGTCCGCTAAAACACACTGCGCTCGGAACGCCATCGCGAACGGCGCTCTCCATTTTATCCAGCACGGCGACGGGCAGATAGAACCGCGGTCGTGTCCCATGTCCCTACCCGCATCACTCCAGTCAGGCTCGCGATGGAACCTCCAGAATTTCTTCGAGTCCTTCGCTAGGCCCAGTGCGGAAGAATTCTCGAGCAAATCGCGGGGATGATCGATGGTCAGGGGCTGCTCTCGAAGCTCGCGTCTCGCTGTGGCTCAAATGCGCTCTGCACTTACTACCGCCTGCAGTCTGGCCAACGTATGTATGTCCGCCGCCACCATCCAACACATTGATAACTGGTGCATCAAAGTGTACGGGGCTCTCATTCGTCTGACGCGTGCAGCCAAGTCCTGGTCGTATCTTCTAGAGCCCCGATGTCCCACGTACAAGGAAGCGCGGGCCGCAGTCGCCCTCCTCGCCCTTTCCCAGGGATTGGGCAATGTCCTGCGTGAGTTTCGTTCGGGCTCACCAGCAGCAGTCACTGCCGTCCCAGAAGCGGCTCGCAGCTTTGTGTCCAAGACGGCCTATGCCTTCTTGAGCAAGTACACATCGGTGAGATCCGCGCGTGTGGCATATCAGTATCAATTTGACGACTGTGATCGGCGTTCGTGATTTCCACCCATATCCCGCGCGTCCTGAATCTGCCCAGGACATGGATGTACGCTCAGTGTCACCCTCGAGCCACACGAGACGGACACACGGCAATATGTCGCCCCTCCGCTGTATGGATCTCGACAAGATGCGAAAGTGGCCGTTGTGTATCTTGCATTTGAACAAGGAGTGGCCGATTTCATGATTTGCCGCGGTCAAGTCCCACCTGGCCACCAGCCATGTTTCGACTTGACAAACGGCCCACCGTCAATGCCGAGCTCGAAAAAGCACAAAATGGCTGATGGGCCATCACAACCACCACCACCGAGCAAGAAACAGAAGAGCAAGGAGCATCAAGAATCTGAGCTCGAAGAGGGTGAAGTGTTGGAGTAGACCGCATCAGTTTTCAACGATATCGAGTCCTGGGATTACAATTTACTGCGTCTGTGAACCATATCCCCGGATACCCTCCGCAAATGACCAATACGTCTCCAATTTGCGGGACGCAGAGATGTCTACCCCTTGAGCAGTGATAGTCGCAATTTGATACTGCGCGGAGGGCTTAGCGCTGAATCGCGAAGCAGAAAGTGCGGGCCTACCTGATCGATACTGCGGGCATCTCGGTAATACAGAACCTGCATGCTTTGCTCCAAGATTTTGCGAGCTTCATCTTCAGTCAATGTTTCCTCGCGACCCTCCACGGCCCGGCGGAGCAACGGCTGGGCGATGTGAGCGCCGTAGCCAGTTGCAAGCGTGGATGCCGTGTAGGTTGTACCAATCAGATCGACATACGCCAAGAACCTGGGGCTTCGATGAGTATGCCTGCTTGTACAGGATCATCGAGCCTACCGTTTGCCATCTTTGAAGCCCCCCACAAGTAACGAGTTCCATAGCGGGTTCATCTTCGAGCGGCGTGCATACATGACCTCAGAGAGATAGTTGTGGATCTCGGCAGGACCAAGGGAGTGTCCATCGGCAGCAGAGAATTCGTCCACCATTAGCTCGTCGAGGATGGTTTGGATATATTGGAAGTCGCTCATATCGCCACTGGCGCCCAGGACGGTGTAGTTCCCAACAGGGACCAGTCGCTGGATATCACGGAATCGGGCGAGCGAGCCGTACGACGCTAGAAGAGGGACAGAGATTACACTACCGCACAACTGGGGAGGGTCATGGCGCGCACCGAGGTTATCCGCAGCCATCATGATTCCATCCTTGTACTTGATAGCAAGCACACTGGTGCCAGTGACGATGGGTTGTTGCGTGTGCTGGATTCCGGCCGAGAAAGCGTCCTTGGGTGCATTGCTCGGTCGTTGGTGGATCGGGTAGGTACCGTAAAGATCCACTGCGTCGTTCCTCTGATTCCACTTCTGAATTACCGAAGACTTGGGATCCAAAGAATACGCACCGGTCGCCCCCAGTTGGTCGGAAAGTGGTCCATGGATGATCAAAGTGAATGTGCAAGAGACGCGTATGTATGTGTGACTGTGACAGACGCGTAATCGTCGCGTGCCAGCGGTTTCCGGCTATCTGCCATAACGTCTTTGAACTAGGCGCACACAATTTCTGGCTGTTACGCTCTCTTGACCTTTATGCCTGGCTCCTCTCTGTAATGTCACGTTCAGCTCACCACCTCGAGTACGCCAGCCCTCTCGTCCGTGCCCCTTCCCCCGCCAGCACAGTCGGCAGCGTGCATGGTCCCGACCAGACCTCGGATGATGGGCTCGATGATCGGGCCTTTGAGCGAAAAATGGAGGAGAAGCTCAAACTGCGTCAACCTCTGCACGAGGAGGAGATTGCCAACAAGGAGCCACTCATTCGACGTCCCGGCACTGCGCGCGAGGAACGAGGTATGCCTCCGTTCCATGGTCCCTCTACCACGATCCCTTTCTTTCTTCGAAGTTCGTTTTCTCAAATGAAATGGCAAGGTCAAGCACTGTCCTTCGCCGATGGGAAAACCACTTCCTCTTCGCTTGCCTATCATCATCTGCGTTTAAAGTACGACTGACACAGATCAATGAACAGATCTTTCCGAACGCATAATTCGAGAACTCCGCGCCAAAGTCACAGAGATCGAGGATAACGAGTTGTTTGAGCAAACCATGTTACGGGGCTCTCAAGCAGGGATCGAGCAATACACTATCCCAACAGACGTGGACGCAGTCATGCTCAGCATGATGCCTCAGCCGGGCACATCCTTGACGCTGGAGCAACAGCAGATGACGAATGGGCCGTGGAACCAGGTCCAAGGCGTGTATCAGTTCGAAGGGCTCAACGGGCCGGCCACGCCGTCCAAAACACCCGCCAAACGGGCGACAAAAGGCAAAGGGAAGAGCCGCAAGTGACATACTGCAAGCATTGGCCGAAATCGCACATACCATGTATTATCTAGCCGCATAATATGTATCCTGGCAGTGTACGTCCGCAGTCTAATCTGGATCGTCAGAGAAGAAATCAGGCAGTGCTTCCTCAACAGCCTTGATTGTCTCCGCGATACTTCTCCTAGCCTTTTTCGGAGTTTCAGAAACGGGAAGAAACATAGAATATGAGAGAATAACCCACAGCCAGTCGACACTCGCCGTGCATATATGTTGCACTGCCCCATCTCTCGTGATCCCTTTGCAGCTGCTTCAGTCGGCCCAAAACATCTGCCATCCCAAGCGCCAGCACCTGGTCGCTGCGCGTCTTGTCTTTCCAGAAATCCAACCAGCTCGATGTGCATCCATTCTGATGCCATGTAGCCCCACACGCAGGCGCGTGCTCGAAACGTGGCGGATTCGTGCGCAGATGCTCCCAGGTCCGCGTTAGCCGGTAATACCCAGCAAGAAGCCGCAGCTGCTGTGCGGAGTTGATCACAAGCCGGCCTTCGTCATCCACGTCACCTTCATGCAGAGCGGCCGTCGTGCTCGACGAAGCTGTGCTGGCGGAAGTAGCACCCGCACCCAGACTTAGACCTAGACCCGGAGGACCGACGGTCGGTGCCACAGTCGAGGTGTTCGTCTTCGGTTTCAGCAGTCCATCAACGGACGCGCGTTTGACTATCACCGCTTTCTGCATGACTTCAAGATAGGCCGCACCCCGCAAGACGCGCAGGTCCAATTCGTCTGCGAGGGTCATCGCCAGGTACGCATACTGCACTGAGGAGCTCATGAGCTGCCGTAGGAGAAGGATCATCGTGGACAGCAGTTTCTCGTGGTTGCACATCTGCGCCAGCCGTACCAGTCGCGTCAGCTGTGCCGTACTCTCCGCCGACGAAGTTGCCGGCGCAGACACTGAGCTAGGAGAGAAGGTGTATGCATTAGGCGGAGGGATAGCCGTGAGGATCGGCGAGGGCTTGCGATTGACATATTCCTGGATCGCATCCAGCGTCCAAGTCTCCATCCCCTTGAACGAGTATTTGTTAGCAATCCGCGTGATGTCCATGAGCTGTGCGAGATTCGCGTCAGCCGAGTGGATGACACTGAGTTCTGGAGGTCTTGGGAAGCGCATCAGTCGCGGGATAGACAGACAAGTAACTGAACACACAAGGCATACAGCGCCCAAAAGAAGTGGCGGAACTCGTCCACTGTATCTCCTGTCAGGACGATGGGGTTCTCGTCAGAGCGTCCCTCCTCCAGGTCAGAGCCTTGCGGCAGAGAGAACATGGCCTGGAAGGAGGAAGAATCTGGCCGCAGATTAGAGTAGACTGATCTCCTGGTGTAGAGTCACGTACCTTTCGACAGGATGGTCCGGTGCACCTGCAATGCCAAGCGTCAACGACCGTTCATAGGGAGTGCCAGCTCGTGCGCACATTGAATAGTGTGTTCTGCACTAGAATTATACAGCTGCCATCGTCGAAATAGTATGTGTCGTCCCGAATACGACTTCCCCGTGTCGGGGCCGGGAGCTTCCTCTTGAGGGGACCTGCATCCAGTTGAGACAAGCTGGAGTCCGAGCGCTTTCGCTTCAAAGGTGTCGTCTTTGGGTGCTCTTGTGGGGAAACATCAAGGGGCACAGGAGGATTCGACGTTGACGCCGACATCAAGATGGCGTGGGAAAACCATATGCGAAGATCACAGATCAGAAGCGGTAGCGAACAGCTGAGGGAAACGATACACTAATTCAATTAGGTGCTAACAATACAGGATTAAAGATTGCGTCTAGCTACAAATGCGTGGTCCATGAGGCAAAAGAAAGTCCGTAAAAGTCGTCAGAAAGTCCGCGGATGTTAAATCCGCTGAGCGAGTGTGATGGAATTGTCGTCGATGTTGGTGGACATGTACACGCTCTTGAGGAACGTGCCGCCAAGGAGCGCTTGCGTTTGGTTGAAGCCGCCGATCCCCGAGGTGCAGTCGCCAGTCTTCTTGCCGAACGACGCAAAGAGCAGGTCCTTGGCGTCGATCGGGAACGACTTGCCCCCGAATTGGACCGCTACAGACGCAGTCGTGTTGCACGGGATAGTCCCCGACCCGGTGGCCTCGCTGAACACAGCGCCTGGGATCTGCGCATGGATCGCAGCGGCGTCGGCCGTCGGGAACACCGCGATCGTCGTGCCCGTGTCCAGAATGGCGGCGCTGTGGCTGAGGGAGATCGTCGCGCCGTTCACCGTCACCCCATCCATCTGAGCGACCCAGAAAGCAGAGGTATCGGAGGATTTGACGGTGACGGCTGTGCTGGCGTCGAATTTGCTGGGATCCATGCCGCCGAAAGTGATTTCGCCGCCATTGGGATCATCCACCAACCGCGGAAGAGCGTAAGACGCGATACCCTGAGAGATCGTGCCGGAATTGACCAACGCCTCGATGGGCGTCGGTAGCTTGGTCGGATCGGCCACTGCGGAGGCCACCAGTCCCTGACACTCATATGAGCTCGTGCATCTCAAGCGTGCCAAAGAACTCACAGATTTGGCTGTTCCCATCAGCCCGTCAGCTACAGCGTCCGATGCAAAGGAGTTGCTGATCTTGTCCGCCAGTCCGAAAGTGTAGTTGCTCAAAAGTATTCCACCGAACACCACAGTGTCGTTGACAAGGGAACCGCTCGCGGAGCCAGAGCCGTAGACGATGTTGAACGGATCGTTAAGTGAGATGAGGCTGCTAGATGTCGAGGAATCGAGGAATTTGTGGTTGCCCTGTTACATTGCTGGTCAGTAACGAACAAAGAGTTTCGATCGGAGAAACGTACGCAGCCCTGGGGGTTTCCCTGATTGTCCTGTGAAACACAATGGTTGCCCGACTTCAACCAGAGAACCGCTGCAACAAGTGAGCCTCGTCGACGCTCAAGTATCAGCAAGGGAAAACTTACACGATCCAGAATCGACGATAACCTTGTAGTCTTGCGAGGGACTGCCGATGGACAAGATCATCACAAAGGATGTGTCGGCGCCACTTTAAGATAGCAGATGAGACCATGTTGACGATTGCAGAAGAGACACTCACTCGGAATCGACCTCTGAAGAGTCATTGGTCAGGACGGCAGGCGTATTCGAAGCACTGGCGAACACAAATGAATAGAGCATCATCGATAGAACAGCAGGTACCCACGGTTGGAAGGATTGGGCCGCCACCAGCTGGTTCCCTGCACCTGAGCTGAATTCGGGGACGGACCCGTCAAATCCGGCCGGGAGGACGCTGTAGCGTTTGCGTTGGGCCTGGATGTGCTCTGCGCGGCGATGAAGGTTGGCCAGCAGCTCGTGTTGCGGGGGGTTAGGAAGACCTGCGGCTCTAGCAGCAATGCGCGTCGCATGGTTCAGGTCAATTTGATGCCGCTGCACAGACCTCAGTCAAAGAGACTCGGTCAAGAGAGAACGGAGAACGTACGATCTCAGGATGCAGGCTCGGATTCCGTTCCACGCGGCGCAAAGGAACCGAAATCAGTCCCTCGGTTGCGGCCTGGCGCGTGCGAAGCGGTCGTGTTTCCGCGGGAGTAAAAAGTAGAAGAGCGACGCTCAGAATAGAGGTAAGAAGCATTGCGTTAAGGCGTGCAGGTGAGTATTAAGTGGTTGTGTGGGAGTTGAAACGTGTGGACGTCGAGAGTCGTAAGAAAAGACAGAACAGTCGTGAAAGGCTCGACCGGGAGCGAGTGAGTGTCGGGCGTAAGAGGAAGAATCTAGAAAGTAGTGAAGGGGCACGTTGTCGCTCGAACACTCTTATAGTTCACAAAAGCGATGACAGACGGCATGTGCATGGATTGAGAACAATGAACAATGGTGCCTATTGTTCTCGGGTTGTACAAAGAAATGTGACATACACGCCTCTGACCCTGATTGGAAGCGGCAAAGAAGGGAGATGGTCACGGTAGACCATGCAACCACCGAAGTGTTCGCACTGCTCTAGGAACAAGGGAGAGAGCTTCAGAGAACGGTGACAGGGCTGGTTGATTACATAACTAGCTTGATTGATTGAAGTGTAAGGGAGCGCATCAACACGTGCCAAGTTACAGTGTCCGAACAGCACAGGGCTACAGACTCAGTTACAAATTTGCTATACAAATGCGTACATCACGAGCACAGTTGCCAAGGAAAGCAGAGACCCCAATCCCGATACTTGAACGTTGAAAGAGCCTCCGGTAGTGGGAGTTGCCGAAGCCGCAGCCGGCGTCGCCGATAGTGAAGATCCAGTCGATGTGCCACTAGGGCTGGCACTCGCTGGGCTTGCAGCCGCAATTTGTGTTACTGGAGGGCATTGTGGGGCCACAAGCGAGGACCCATAGTTGCTCGCGATCCACAGCACGACTCCGTTTGTCCAGCCAAAGCCGGCCTGGACGACATACTCCCCTCCGCGACCAGCAGAGTCGATGTCCGAGATTGAGAACTTTTCAAACATCTTCAAGGGACGGGGTGAGACTACATCAGCAGAGGCAGAGATATTGAAACGAACGTTGCCTGTGTTATTGACACTTTGAGTGACGTTCAACTCAGAGTCCGACAAGCGCGGCAACACTCCTGGAATAGAGCCCCCGGTCGCATGCCTATGCCAGAATAAGCGCAAGGAAACCCTGAACAACTGATACTCACCAACTGCACAAAGCACTGGCGAAGTAGCGATTGGCAAGCTGCACTCGCAGGGCCTCGGCCCAGCCCCCGCCTGTCGCGTTGCCTCCATTGAAGACAGTGCCATTCAGCGCATTTAGATCTGCAACGGGGCCAGACGAAGTGACATTGACAGTCGCATTGTAATTCTGCAGCGGAAGGGCCGATTCTGACAGGCCGAGTTGGCCAGCGGGGATGAGCGAGAACGTGTTCTGCCCCGCAGCTGGAGTGGGGATAGACCCCTGGGACACATTCGAGGGCAAGGCGGCCAGTGCTTGAAGAACGATATATTGATGCGGCGGCCATGCGTTGGGAGCATCCCTATCGCTTGATTAAACAAGAGAACATTCGAGCATGGCGCATCGAAAACACACCACTGTAACCCGGTCTCGATGAACGAGACGGGCATTGTCCCATTGTATCTATTGAGCACCATATTCACAGCCGCAAAGGCACCGAACGCGTTCGAGCTGTTACGCGCAATCTCCGCCGGAATGATGCCGCTCCAGTACGGATAGAACGCGGCCATCGTAAAGACATTGTTTTGGGCGTTCGTATCCAGATTGAAGTCGTAGAATGCAAGCTGAGCGTACCGTGAAAATCGGATGATGGACTTGGAAGAGCGCTTACTTTAGTCGCATTCCAAAACAGGTCCAAGATACCGTCTTTGATGGTAGCCGCAGCAGCCCGATGAGACGTTGCTGCGGTTGCGTTTCTGGTCTTGTTATACAAGTCCGCCATTATCACACGGTTCTTGTCTGGATCGAATTAGCCTAGGATAGGGACGAAGTCCTAAAGGACTGACACATGATGCTGTTCAGATCGACTGGTAACGTCTTCCTGACATTCAAATTGCGCAGATTGGAGCTCGTGTCCGTGATCCATCGTGACGAATAGTCCCAGCCTGTTTCGGCACCGCTGGCCAGCTCAGCATAGAGATCAGCAGACTGCGTTGCGTTCAGCGAAGGTTGTGATGGATCGTGGACGGTCAAGTAATCTGGCTCGCGTTTAGTCGCGAGCGGTGAAGACCGAGGGCAAAGACGCTACCAGTCAGGTACGACTCCGGTCGTGGGGCAGTGTTGTTCACTTTGTATTGGATCATCGAGTGTGTTTTGTTTGTGAGCGGGCTCTTCACGGTAACCGTTCGATGGGCCGCCCACCAAGCGATTTCTCGCTACGAGATTCAGACGACAAAAGCTATATTGAAGAGCAAACGCACCTCAGCGATGGGCAGGGCTCTGGTCAGGATTCCCGTGTCGTTCGATGCAGATACGTAACGCGCGAGCATTTGGATGAAGAGCGGTGGTTGGGACCGATCGAGATCTGCAGCAGAGCTCGAGTGACCGCTCTCAGCTGACAGAGTAACTCACAGTAGATTCGCCCCCCGTTGGGAATGAAACCAAACCGCTCAATCTCGTCCATGAAGTTTTGGAGTGTGTCATTGACGATGGTGAACAACTCGGACTCCAAGAGGCCCTCCACAATCCAATACGAGTCCCAATAGTACTGCTCGCGGAAACGGCCACCTGATCCACCGTGTCAGCCAGAGGTTTCAAAGTCGAACGAAAGCCATACCGGGAACGACGAAAGTGTGATTCAGAGGAATGAGTGAGCTTTCGCATCTCACCCCGTCGCAGAGGGTGCTGGAATTTGTGCCTCTAACCAGCTGCGTCCAGAAGCCATTCACCGTCTGCGAGAATGCCTTGAGGAGCGGATCCGTCACGTTCTTTAAGAAAGCTGGGGTCGCGGTGAATCCAGGGAGGACGACAGCCTCGAGTTCCTGTCCTTCACCGGTAAAGTCAGCGTCCACGAAGCTCACGACTTGGCCCTCCGTGAGAGCGGTGCCGCTGCTGTTCAACGCCGCAAAATCAGCAAGCACAGTGCTCCTGTTTTTCGAAGTCGGCTGCGGAAAGTTGGGATCATTTTCACGCGGTCACATGGGCGACGTACTTTGTCGACGATGGTTTTGGGGTCCGTGAAGATACCCGCCAGGTTGAGCGTCTGGAGAACCTGCACCATACCCATCAGGAAGGGAAGCCACGAGCGTGTTTTAGGTGCGAACCGAGCCTGCGCAGAAGATCTCGGAAGGACACCAGGCTTGAACGGGGGGAAGAGCAGCTTGAGATGGGACAAGGGCCCCTGCCGAGCCGGATGGGGTGGCAGTCAGCGTCGCGACTGCGACCTGGGACACGGTTGTCGTTGGAAAACTCTGGGATGCAGAGAAGCTGATCGAATGGGCGCTTCCGGTACTACTCGACTGAGACACCGCTCCACGCCCTAGACACGCGGCGATGACGACGGCAAGAATCCCGGGCGGAAGCATTGCAGCAGCCTTGAATGCAAGCTACGAGCAGGAAGATGGTGGTCGGACTTGGACTGGGTCCGTTCGACCTGTCGATCCGTCTTCCCCGCTTTATAAACGCCGGGTCTCAATCTTACAGTCCCCATGTGACCGGAAATCAGGAGGGGAATGAATGGATCCATTATGCATGACGAGTATATGCGGTTGTTATTAGAACGCTCCATCGGTCGTTTCGGTGATTGGCGAGCGGGCGCGGCGCCTCGCTGCGTGTCAGATGACCCCCCGCCAACTGACAGAGATGCAACGCAAGCTTTGCATGACAGGTGGCGGCAGGTGGAAGGGGAGCGATGCGGAGAGACTCAGAGCGGCACCGTTAATGTCGGGTCGATTAGGCCTGGACGAGGCGGAAAGAGAGCAAGGGCTCGGACTGCAAGATTCAATCGAGAGGGACGACCGGTCCTAGCAAAGAGCAGCAGTTCGCGAGCACGATGATTATTTGTGACTTGATGCCAATCACACAAACATAAAAACCTCACTCATAATCTCAGGTGGAACCAACTCATACTACTAGACTGATCCACCTGGCAAATGCTCTTTTCTCTTCCTTTGCTCTTACTCCAATCTCCATCTACGACCTCCTTGTCTTCAATGCTGTCATCGCTCTCTTGGGGTGCTGGGTCGCATCTGGATTACACTATTCTGTGAGCAGCGGCGAGCGTCCCCATCTGGTGCTTGGAGTCCGAATGTCGCAGTCTCTGCTAAGGCTTTTGCCGCTCTTGCCGCTACGGTTATCAAGCTCGTTACACTGCATTGCGAACTTACATCGCTTCCTTGGGGGACTGGATCACCGATCAAGCTAAAATTACATTCGGTCTACGGCGGACTCGCGCATCAAGATCCCAGGGTGCTGCGCAGTTCAACTCCACATAAAGACGTCTACACACACCTCTTTCGCCCTCATTCCAGCTCAAACAATGATGGTCTCGCCTTCCTTGCCTGCGAGCCTTCCGGTGATTCTGCTTTTGCTGCCCCTGGTCTGCAGCGAACCCATCCACATCCCGCTTGTCAATCGAAGGACTGATCGAGTCCGCACTCTTACCGACCACTTTGCTGCCGGGTCGTCTGCGCGGTCGAGATATGGCTATGCTTCTGGTCTGCCATCCACGTCTTCAAGGATTCGACGGGGTAGCACGATCGACTTCTCAATGGAAGACCAGGTAAGCGGTGCGGCTGATGCGTCGGGTCGTTCACTCACAGCGGCCAGGGAGCCGACGCGAGTTACATTGGCAGTGTTTCCATTGGCACGCCGTAAGCACATGTTCTTCTTACTTTGTCGCTAAATTGATAATCACGTTGTTGGATAGACCACAGACCTTCTCGGTTATTCTGGACACCGGAAGTTCCGACCTTTGGGTCGTGGACTCACAGTGTCTAAGCTGTGGCGGGGGCAGCTCCTTCACGTCTTCATCTTCGTCGTCGTTTCTGCAATCAAGCAGCCAATCAGTGGAAATCGTCTATGGCTCTGGGCAGGTGGCCGGAACTGTAGCTACAGATACTGTTAGCATGGGCAGCCTCAGTGTTTCCTCGCAGGGGTTCTGTGCGTACTACATCTCTTGTAGAAAGAAGCTGAATCTGAAGCTTTACGACTAGTATTGGCAGAGCAGCTTACGCAGAATCTCATCCAGGGTCAAGTTTCCGGCCTGATTGGTCTGGCCTTCCAGAGCCTAGCGCAGACGCAGGCTGTCCCTTTCTGGCAAGCCCTGATCAACGCTAATCAACTGTCGTCACCCGAAATGTCATTCCACTTGCTTCGCTCCTTAAGCTCGGGGGATGCGCCAGGGGGGACATTCACGCTCGGGGGCACCAACGCATCGTTGTACACAGGGGACATCGACTTCCAGAATCTCGTCCAGTCTCCCGCAGGTGCGGCACAGACATACTGGCTCTTGGACATGTCAGCCGTCACGGTTCAAGGGAACGCGGTCACTCTACCACAGGGAGATTCGGTCACAGCTGCTATTGACACTGGAACGAGCCTGATCGGTGCTCCTAGCAGCACCGTTTCAGCGATCTGGGCTGCCGTTGATGGGGCAAGTCCTCTCTCCGCCTCGATAGGCCAAGGATACTACCAGTTCCGTGCGTTGCACTTGTCGTCTGTGTCTTGGCCTGTGCACGTACTGAGATCCAACAGCCTGCTCTACCAACGTGAGCGTGACCCTCTCGTTCGGAGGCAAAGCCTGGCCTATTAGCCCTGAGGATATGAACCTGGGGCCCATTCAGCAAGGCAGCTCTTTTTGCGTCGGAGCCATATTCGACTTGACGCTTGGCTCACAAGCCAGTTCAGGCAGTCCCGGCTGGGTGGTCGGGGACACTTTCCTGGTCAGCTCTTACTCTCATCAGCAATTCAATTCTGTTTGACGACGAACGTCGACAGAAAAATGTGTACACCGTATTCCGACAAAACCCAGCGTCTGTTGGGTTTGCCCAGCTCTCTTCAGACCCCACTGTGTCTTCTTCAACGAGTGGAACTGCTGTGATCCCAGGGAACCCTGGCCTACCGACCGGGTCAGCGTCGGGATCAGCGTCGGGATCGACCTCGACGACTGTTACTTGTGAGTCCCGATCGTCAATAAAATTCATGCATATTGACCTAGTGCCTCTAGCTGCGGCGATTGCCCTCGCTGTGCCCAGCAAGGCATCCATCCTGCTACTGTTTTTAGCCATTTCAGCAATTTGCGGACTGTCATTATAATGTGAATCTATGTAGATGCAGAGAATTATCAACGATATCGAAGAGAGACAATAGATAATACTGTTCATACATGAGAACAAGACGCGATGTCGAGTTGAAATTTCAAGTGTGATGGATTGAACCCTTGAACGACAACCGACGCTTACCTTTCTTTAGGCTTTTTGGGCATCAAACCACGCTGGGATAACACCTGAATACTCAACTCCAATAAACTTATCGTATCGATTGATGCCTAAGACGTGGTAATGGCCGAGATGCTAATGGGGTTCCGGTGACGAGTCCAGGAACCAAACAAACACGCGCTGCTTAGCAGCTTCCTCTATGCCTATCCCCATTTCCTACGCCGAACGCGCTCGAGGCGCAGGAAAACCTACATCTGCTCCGTCTCCCAGTCGCCAGCCAGTGCCCCGTGGGAGGACAACAAATGGATCCGTCGGCCCTGTTTTGAGTAGAGGCGGGGGATTGATTACCGATGCTGCAGGTCCATCCACACCGGCAGCCGCTTCGCATTTGAGGACGCCGGTGTCTCCATCTCAAGCGCAGTCAACTCCATCTATTTCTGTTTCTACGAGCGCATTGGCAGATGACACGCTCGCACACACAACACCCAACTCGAGAACAACGACTGCGCCGCTCTCGCCTCATCCCACATCGCCGCCTTCCGTGTCTTCCTCTAACGCAGCCATGTCATCACCGTCATCACCGACGTTCATGTCAAAAGGGAGCCCTGCACCGCTCTCGCCCAATGTTTGGGCTGTGCGCGCCGCTCAGCGTGCGTCTACTTCGTCCTCTCCAAATCCGTCGCCACATCGGTCTGCGTCCCCAGTGGGATCCGCCGTACCAGTTCCTCTGCCTCCGCTAGGGCCCCCGAGGGATGATGAAGATGCGTTCGTCGTGCGCGTGAGGCATTCGAACTCGACCGCCAGTGTGGGAAATGGTGGACTGTCACCTAAGCGGATGGGCGCTGAGATGACGCGGCCAACTGCGGAATCTGTCACGGTGAACGGACATGGACTGGCAGCTCAGAGGCAAGAAGCGGAACGGGGATCAACAGGTGCGTAGTACACGTCTTACGCCACCTGCGCCGCTCCTTGCGCCTCAGCTCTTGCCCAGATGATGAAGTTACTCATCCCCTCACTATAGGACCTTCCTCTCCATCTGTGTCTCCTCCAGCTTCTGTTGCTGTGTTCCCGCCAAAAGCACCGTCTCCCAAGCAATCCTCCCGTCACCAAACTTCATCTCACACCCAAGCGATTCAGCCAATGCCAGTGCCACACCCAAGGTCTGGCGCAACCACCTCGTCCTCGGCTTCGGCTTCCTCATCCCCTAATCCCAATCTAAATCCGACTGTTGTTGCGAGCAACTCCCCACCTGCTTCATCTTCGGCTTCGGCTCGCGGGAGCGACCGAAAAATAGGGACATCGCAATTATCGGTATTTCCCACACCGGGAGAAGCCTCGCCTGCTACGGAGACGACGTCCATACAGGTTAACGGGGCTTTACTCTCCCCCTTGCCTCCGTTCTCGCGATCATCGCTCCCGGGGGAGGAGCCCCAGGCATCTACCTCTCAACTGCCTGTCACAGCACCCCCAGCAATATCAACATCGTCATCGCGATCGAGCTCGAAGAAGGGTCGAAAGTGGGTGCCGATACCACCTGAAGAGTTGAGAGCTGCTGCCGAGGAGCACCAGAGAGCAACGAATGGCTACAGCAACGATTATGGTGGCCACCGTCATGGTCACGGTTCCGGTCGCTTCAACCGGGAAAGGATGTCCAGGAATCATAGTCAAAGCCACAGCGGAACAACCTCGCGAGCAGAAAGTGTGGCTTCGGCCAGTCGCGGGTCAGTTGACCGAGCACCCAGTCCGATTCCAGTGGTCATGCCGCCACATCTACAGTATGGCACGGGGCAGATGGCACTAGCACAGCCATCTTGGGGCGGGTATCAACCACCTCAGCCAATGTACAACGCGCCGGCTTACTATGGCGCACCATACGGTTATGAGCCTCCAGTACCGTACGGGGGCTACTGGGCCCCACCCTGGTATCCGCCACCGCAGCCGCCAATGCCTCCGCCCCTCGACACAAAGCCGGAACGGGAGCGGGAGCGGCCCCCTCCGCCAACAGAATCAGCTCCGATCTCCGTCTCCACCAGCTTGGGTTCGTTGCCCACTCAAGAGCCTTCGGTAGCGTTCGGGACGGTCGATGATTCAACCACCGAAATGCCCGCCAGTGCCTCGCAGTTCCCGACATCTGCAAGCGTGAACGCACATTCGCCTGTGTTTGCAATTGGCGTATCGCCCAGGACGCAGGCAAGAAGACTGGAAGAGCAGCCGCAAAAGCAGATCATTGATGTGACTGCTACGGAGCATGGGCGATGGGAGTTTGGTACAACCAGAGAAGAAACGCACGCGGAGATTCCGAGTGGACAATATTATCAGCCACCACCACCACCTTGGATGATCTACGGGGGATACGCCCCATACGATGGCCAATACAGCGCTCCGTATACGATGCCTCCACATGGCATGGCACCTGGTGGAATCCCTCCTGCGGTGATGGGAGCTGGATATGCAATGCCTCAGCCTGAACCCGATTGGCAGGTTAGGGACTTCGGGTACAATTCTGGGCCTGGATATACGCGGGAACCATTCATGCCACGGCCGGATCACATGGTCCAGCAGCCTGATGGTCCGTTGGACTTTTCTGCTGGGGGGCGTGGAAGCTACCATGGTGGAAGACGAGCGCGGGCCGGATTCCGGGGCTACGGCAGAGGGGGAGGATTTCAGCGAGGAGGATTCCAGCAGCGACCGGCACCGCCGTTCAGTGTATTGCCGGCACCGGAGCTGCGGACTCGTATCACGTTCCCGATTGACCGGCTGCGAGAAGAGATCCTCGGCCAGCTCGAGTTCTATCTGAGTCCAGATAACATGGCAACAGACTTTTATCTGCGGCAGCAGGTGCGTTGTAGTTGTTGTCTTCTTTTCTTTGTGCGCGACTGATCGCGATATTGCAGATGGATTCCGAGGGCTGGATCCCCGTCGAGGTGCTCGGATCGTTCAAGCGAGTGCAAGCGAAGACGAAGGATCTCGCCCTCGTCCGCGATGTGCTGAGCCTGTCCGAATATGCTGAGATCCGGGGGAACTGGGTGAGGAGCCGAGAATGCGGCAAGCGGTATGTGCTGCCCACGGCGAAGCAGAGCGTCGTGGAGGTCGAGGCGGAGCGCAGTGTGTACGATCTGGTCATGCAGAGCAAGAGCAGCAGCAGCGAGTCCGTCCCAGCCGAGGAGGACGACGCAGAAGAGGACGACGAAGAGGACGAAGTCGTGTTTGTGCTGGACAACCACGAGGCATCTGCCTGGAACCCGCAACGGAGAGTGTAGCCCGGGCCCGTTGCATTTGCGTCATCCCATTTGTTGTAGGTTATTGTACTACTCGCTCGCTGCTTCTTGCCTTACATTGCCTATCATATACGTACTTATCTGTTACCGTCGATACTTGTCCAGGTTCTGCTCGATTTGCGCATATACGCTAGTGCCACCCAGTTGCTTCCGCTCCTCGTACTCCGGCGTGCCCATCGGATGGCCGCCGGACCGCGCGTCCCGGACATGGAGCTTCTCAGGAGCCGGCAACAAACATCTCGGCAGCGATGTCGAGCTCGACACCGATGCCGCGCCAGACGGGAGCATGTACTCCGCCAAAACCATTTCAGTCACCCCCGGAGGCTCGCTCGGCCGAGACGCGGGACGCGTAGACCCGTAGCCGGTATGCCTCGATTTAGGCGTCGGAGAGTTCTGCGGATACACGTTGCGGCTGATCCTCCGCTGTTTCGGCATCCAGGTGGCTCGCTGCTCCTCGCCGTGCGGGCGGCGTGGAAGTTGTGACATCGGCTGGCAAATGTGCGGCTTGACGTCGTCGTCGTCGCCGGGCTGCGCACGAGTCGCTTGGGGAGGCTTCTCCGAGCTGGCCCGCCGCCTAAAGAAGAACAGCCCTGCCAACAGGATCACGGCACCGACAGTCGACAGTGGGACGACGAAGGCAGCGGCAGGTGGAGGCGCGGCCTTGGTCGTAAGCACATTGGCGGTTGACAGTGGAAACACCGAAGATTTGATCGCTTGCGTTGCAGCAGCCAAGTTTGGCGCCGGTTGTGTCTCTGAGAAGAAGTATTGACTTTGTTGAGGCGGAGACAGAGAAGACGAGATGACGGGAAAGGCTTGGCTTGGAGCGAAAGGTGCTTGAGCTGCGATTGGTGCTTGAGCTGCGATTGGTGCTTGAGGAACGTTGGCGGCTGCGACTGGTGGAGATTGTTGAATGGAGTTGGGGCCGGATGAGGCTGCGCCAGTGGCTGAGAAACTGGTGAATGAACGTCGTCGAGCACTTTGGTAACGAACGCTTACGATCGATAGTGAACACTGGCGACCGCATCTTCGCACCTCCAGCTGCGCTTTCCTCAAGCAAGATATAGTACTGGCCCGTGGTAGGTCCGGTCGAAATCATGCTATTTTGTTGGATCTTTCGATCTGGGAGAGAGAAGACAGATGACACACTTACAATGGAGCTTGGTAGACCCCCGCACTCTCCGTGATCGGCGGCTTCATGCCTGGTCCACACGTCGAGACTGATTCGTCCTCTAGTCCTGATCCAAAAGTATCCCTCGACGAGAAACCGGCGGGAGCGGAGACAGCAGAAGCAGGGCTGGCACAGAGCTTGAGTGTCGGGGACGAGAGCGCGGCAGATGCAAGCCATTTGACAGGGATTGTTGTCCCGGGAGCGTAGATGTCGCCTCCGAGCGGAGTGACCCACCCAATGCTTGAGGGGGAGTTTCGGGAAGATAGTTCCGAGCTGGCTTTTGACTCTTCGTTCAGGATAGACTCGAGATTAGGGAAACTGAAACTAAAGGGGAGAGATTTGATTCGGGTGGTCCGAGCGAGAATGGGACGCCGCCCACGGCGCTTGCGATGGATCATCTTGCAATCAATGAGATCAAGAGACGAAGGAGTAAAGACAGTGGGGTTGGCTGTGAGATAATGTGGTTGGCTGTGAGATAATGTGGTGGTAGTGGCAAAGGATGGTTTTAGCAGGAAGTCCACGCTCGAGGCACGTGGTCACTGCGCGATCACGTGAAACAAGCGTGCCTCAAACACCATTGAAATCAGCTCACGCCAACGACACAGATAGACACACGACAAAATTCAATTGACTGGGCCGAGGGATATAGTCTCTGCCCTCACATATGCTGCTAAACCCTGAGAATCAGACTCAGGAAGATCTTTGACCAACTCTTCCAGTTCCGCTCTCGTCAGGAAGCAGTGATCCTCCCAAGCAAAGCCAGGCACGACGACCTCCGTGATCAAGCACCCCAGCTGTCTCTTCTCCTCTAAGGTCTCCGCGCTTGCGACATCCTCGTCGAGAAGTTTTGACATCTTCCAGACACCGGTACCTACGAGCAGCTGTCGGGTCTCGTTCGGTCCCGTGCCGATCACCTTCCGCTCGATGACGGGAGGGATGTCGCCTTTTCCTGGCGTGATTAACGTATATTCGGCCCGGCCTTGGTGCAGAACGTGGTATGTCTGTCCATGCATTGTCATGCCTTTCAGTCCCGAATATCACGACCCGCGAAGAGCTCACCACCGATTTGTTCATGTGGATCACACCGCTTGGGCGGTCGTAGTCGAGCAGGTAGTAGATTGAAGTGGCTAGTGATCTACGGACTCCCCCGACGAATGGGCTGGGCACTTCATCCGTCTGTCGGTCTGTTTCCAGATAATATCCTTGTGGACCGTGTTATGGAAGGCACTAGACAGCAGTCGCCAGCGACGCGCTGCACTCACCCCCTTCGGGATGCTTCAGCAATCCCAGCTCTTTCACGAGGGGGCTCGAAGTGGCGGATTCTCCGGGAGTAGTCATCATATGTAGGGGGAGGCCGCTTTCTTTCTCCCTTATCTGAGTCCCTCTTTTATAGAGCGCGGTAGCAGATACGCGATTGCCGACTGTGTGATAATCGTCTTCCCGCTCTGGCTCCTCTTTCCCAAACCACGTTTCAGGACACTGATTTCGGTAGATGTCGACTCCGTTGAATGCTCGAGTTGATCTCACCCCTATTGAGTCTAAACACTTGAACTCTTCGCTTCCGTAAAAGGAAACACGCACGCACGATCGCTGTTGGTCATCGGACACTCGGGGCCGAGATCACTCGAGAAGCCTCGTGTGTATAAGAAGAGGGTGATTGCCCCGGATTCACGGCTAGTAACCCACCATGGCAGCCGCGCGCGTCCGACTCCGGGAGATAGTGACAGAGGACCCAAGCAGCTGGGACCAAGCCTGGGTGCAAGGGACCACGCCGTGGGACACCGGGGCGATCCAGCCTCCGCTGCGCGAGGTCGTCGAGTCCGGCGAGCTGCAGCTGCCGACGACCGGGCGCGCGCTGGTGCCGGGATGCGGCTCGGGCTTCGATGCGGTGTACCTCGCCTCCCGCGGATTCGAGACGTTGGCGCTGGACATCTCGAAGACGGCAGCGCAGATCGCGTCCAGGTGCGCCGCGATACGGACTTGAGTCCCCGCGCTGCGCCTATCCTCAGGATCTGTCTGCAGCAATATTCCCGCCGGGTCTAAAGTCCGCATAGAAGTGTGCGACTTTTTTAAATTCACGTCAGATGAGAAATTCGACGTCGTCTACGACTATACGTGAGGAGCTCGCTGACTTGTTTCTCGTCAGAGAGATTGATTGCATGTCGACAGATTCTTTGTTGCCATCCCTCCCTCGAGACGCAACGAATGGGGCGCGCAGATGAACTCACTCGTCAAACCAGGCGGCTATCTGATAACGCTCATCTATCCCATCGAGCCCCAGTCGGACGTAGGCCCTCCCTTCTTCGTTCGTCCGGAGCACTACCTTGAGCCGCTCGGGGACGGCTGGGAAAAGGTGGTGGATAGAGTTCCCACGATCTCCAACCCCACCCATGTGGGAATTGAGCACCTCGTCGTGTGGAAAAAGTTGTGAGGCGCTCATGATCAGAGAGATCAGTACTTAGCAGGAGTACTTACTTGGAACCTCGGCTTAATCAGTGACAGATGCTATGCTTGTTTTCATGGAGTGTGGCTTGATAGTATTGACGATTCTTTATCCCTGGAAAGGCGGCGTCGCGAACTTCTGATAAGCCCAGACCACGACGACGACACAAGAGCGAGAAGACTAGAAATGTGGACGAGCAGCAGTCCACAGGCGTGTCCCATGTTAAGATGATCGATCCCCTGCCGAGACGGTCTTCGGCTATACTTCATACCCGGAAATCTTGAGCCGTCCGGTCTCAAAACGGACGTGTCTGAAATGCTCCCGAGCTTTTGATAATCGCACAAGGGGTACTTACAGGGACTGCAGAGATCAAGTGCGACGTACTGTATCTCACACACGTTTGTACGGCAGTTTCCGCTTGACCTGAAATGATTCCTCCCCGTTCGCTGATTCCTTGTCCTGGTGCTAAGTACTCGAGTGTGCTAGCAGGATCAACAACTGATGTGATCTCTCGGCGTGTTCGGATGTCGTCGACCCATCAGACCGCAATGATGGTCGCGTTTCGAGTGCTGCCCGCGAGAATCGGGAGGTGCACCGCCCCTGGCGACCCATGCTTCAACTGTCAGCCTCGCATGCTGGACACACTCTCACGCCCGCACTTGCCAGCCCGCTGCCAGACGCCTGTAGTCGTACATTACGCTGCGAGGTGGATGATTGTGTGCATTTGGCGGGTATGAATCAGCTCACATATCCAGTTGCTGCCGCGCTGGTACTTACGGTTGCTATGCGCCCTCCCACACCGGATCAAGCGAGATCACCCAGCCTCTTACGGACAAATTATCTCCCCCCTGCTAGCAGGCCGTGGACGGACAGGCCCCGGGCCTGGACGCATGCAGAGACCTCCAGAGGCCTTGTCAATGGATGGCCCCTAATGAGAGTTTCAGGCCCACGAGTGGCGGAAACGCAGCCGCTTCGAGTGATTCAAGATGGGCACGCTTCGCATCGGGGGCCGGATGCGTTTGTGCAATTTGTTATCGCAGCATGATCGGAAGCGCTTCGATTCCGGGGATTTTCGAAATCACAAATCTTGGTTGGGCCTGCCTGTGGCGTCGCAAGCTCATATCCATGATCGCCATTTATATACCCTTCTAATAGCCACTTGCGAGCCGCACCGCGTTTGTTTCCGGCCCACCCCATATGCCGCCCTCGCGACGCAACGTCTGGCCACCCACACCCCCGCCCCCGTCGTCCGAGCAGGATCGTCTGGAACGCTTGGAAGCTGAGAAGGAGGCTAAACGGGTGCGTCGCATTGTCGCGGCAGAGGCCGCGTCGCCCTCTCGGTATCTCTGATCTTATTCGGCGCGCTCCAGGTGAGCAATGCCATCGACGAGCAGCTGGAGGTGGAGCGAGAACAGCGGCGTCGGCCGGCTAATGCCACCGTCCTGCTCTTAGGTCAGCTTTTTCATTATCCGCCGCACGCGCCGCCTCTTCTGAAACACGTCGCTTGCCTCAGGACAGGCCGAGTCGGGCAAATCTACGATTCTGAAGAACATCCAGCTGCACTTTGCTCCCAAGGCCTTCCAAGCGGAGGTGAGACACACCCTTTGTCTCCCATCGAAAGCTGCTGAATCCGTCTGTCTGGCAGGCCGAGGCCTGGCGCCCCGTCATCCAGCTGAACCTCGTCCGCTCAGTCAACTTCATTCTCGGCCTGTTAGCCATCCGACATCCGAGCACGTACATGGGTGGCAACGCGCCTGCTGCATCCGACGCGACTGCCTTCAGCGGACAACTCCGCCGGCTGTCCATCAGCCTCGCGCCGCTCCGGCAGGTGGAGGAGACGCTCTCGAACCGCATCGCCGGGGCCCGGCCACCCGAGGACACCAGCGGCAACCACGCAGACAACGAGCGGTACAATCCTGCGAAAGCTTCCGAAATTATGCTTCGCTCGGGTAGCAATTGGACCGCGTTTCTCCGGTTCCGCCGTGGCTCGATGGCGGATGCTGACCGCACCGAGAAGGCCGAAGCTGTCCAGATTCGGCGGATTCTGAGTGCCTGTGCCAAGGACATTGTCGAAGTGTGGACGGCCGCAGAGATCCAGCAGGGATTGAGGGACCGCGAGATCACGCTGCAGGAACAGTCGGGATTGTGAGTCCAGCAGGTTTTTTCGCGCGCTGTTGTCCTTATTTTCGACAGCTTCCTGGACCAGGTCGAACGAATATGTCGCGAAGATTACATCCCAACTCCCAACGACATTTTGCGCGCGCGCGTGCACACTGTGGGCCCGGAAGAGCATATTATTTATATGGAGAATGGTGCGTGAGCACAGAGTTTTATTGAGACGTTACCTCCAACTTTCCAGGCGGGGAGAATGTCAAATCATGGACCGTATATGATGTCGGTGGTTCGATCAGTCAACGAGGTTCGTTGGTTGCATTATTTCTCACACAGACCGCTTTGAATCATCATCGGCAGCCGCATGGGCGCAATTCTTCGACGATGGTATGCGCTTTCCTATGGGGATACCGACGACTGCTGAGGCTAAATGTCAGTGCATGCAATCATTTTCATGGCTCCGATGTCAGGTACGGTGCCTGCATGACTGTCTCTGCGGCCTTTTCATTGATCTCCCGTAGCCTTCAACGACACACTTGCCGAAAACCGGTCAGTCAACCGCCTGGTCAGCTGCTTCGCGAAACGCACATCCGGCTTTGATCTGATCGCTTCCTGGTCAGGCCGACTCGCTCAAGTTGTGGAGGACGATCTGCAGCAACAAGCTGCTTGTCGCCGTTGAATTCATTCTGGTCCGTCATGCTTCGCGGTTGCCGTCCCGGAACTGCCGACCGATGATGGCGATTAGTTCTTGAACAAAGTCGACATCTTGACCCGCAAAATCGAGTCGGGCATCCGGTTCTCGGACCATGTCACGTCGTACAGGGACAAGCCCAATGAGCCCAAGGAGATCATCAAATGTTGGTTAATGTGTCTGGCGGCATTCCGAAGCTGACTGCATTCCAGATCTGTCGGACGCCTTTGCCACTATCAATCAAACGTACTCCCCCGGAAGCGCAAGATCCATCGACATGTAACATGTGCAGTGGTTCGTCTCGCCCATCGATCGTGACAGTGTTGTTTTGATGCTCCGCACAGGACACAGAGGCTACTTCGATCGTCATAAACGACGGTAAGTGCCAGGCATGGCATCGAGATCAGCGCGCTCATGTTTCACAGTGCGGGAGGTCATCTTACTGAAGGCCCTGGCCGCAACCAGCATCCTGTGAAGCATCATCCATCATATTTAGACCATTGTTGTATCACCACACCACTCACTACCTCGCTTCCGGCGACGTTAATTAGTAGTACCTATCATCTACCCCGCAATGTATTACACACCACCTAATAATGGTTCTCATTCACTCTGCCAGCGCCGCCGGCCGCAGCACGAGCCCAAACCTGTCGACGACAATTTGCACGATGTCCCGCCATTCGGTCATCGCGCCCATCCCTGTAGTCGTCATTGAGACAAGCCGTCAGGAACGGCTGATCTCACTCACCGATGTCCCCGCACGCCAGCTTCTTGCCGATCGGACCCACCACTTGATACTTGACGACATCCCGCACGATGCGCACATGCTCGGAAGTCAGCGGGTGTTCGTACATGAGCGTGTTCATAGCAGGGAAGATGTATGTCGGCGTCGTGGGAGCCAGAGCACGCATCAATGACGTCTAGACCGTGATTAAGCTACTTAGTGGGGACGGAGGGAGTCGGTAAAGCAATCGCACTGCTAGATTATCGCATGTGCCGTGCGCGATCTTGGAGAGCGTGTTGGCAGAGCAGGGGGCAACAAGGACGATATCTGCCCAACGCCGCAGCTCGATATGCAGGATGGGGTCGCCGATTTTGTAGTTCGACTGATCCAGCTTCAGTGCTGCCTGTCTTTCGGATTCGAAAACGACTTACAGGCCACTCGTCAGCGTCCACCCAGACGCGCACCCCCTGCTTCCTGATTGAATCCGCGTCGAAAAAACCGAGGGAGGGCTTCGTTGCGACCACCTCTATCTGGACATTCCCGAACTGTCTTGCTCGTCCGGTGGGTGCGTTGACTAAGCTAAGATGTACGACGAACGCGAAGCAATTCCTCCACTATCAGCGGAGCCTTGACAGACGCAACGCTGCCAGTGGTGATGAGCAGGACGTGGGTGTGTCCAGGACGTCGCTCGAGTTCAGCGATAAACGTCATGGTCGAGAACAAATCAATGATTAACTGATCGTAGCCCCACAGTAGCGTCATAAGTAGAGCATGATCGCCAATGCCCCACCTTATAGGTCACACTGGTACCCGAAACAAGATAGAATTTCAAAGTATATTCTCTTCAGATAGGTGCACAAAAATGTCCAGAAAGATTGGTATGACTAGCTTCTCAGGAATCTACTCTTTAATTGGAAGTTGCGCCATAGTACGGCTGCTGCACTCCGCCAGCGTTGATGGGCTCGTAGGTACCGTTCCCTACGTCTGCGGGGAACAAGAGGTTGAGTAAGAGCAAGCGGAAGCGATCAGTGGCACACGTACAGCGGAAGCCACCATGTCCGTAACGTTCCTCGGCCTTCATCTTCTTGTAGATGAGCCAGAAGGCATGAATGTGTCCAGGAATGTATCCGAAGCTGCAGGTGTGCGTCATTAGCGGAGGGCAGGTGTGCGACAGGCACATGAGACTTGCATCGTGAGGAGGATGTTGATAAGGAGGTCGCAGCTGCAGCCTGTGATGAAAGCAGCGGCCGCGGGAGGGAAGAGGATGGCAACCTGCGAGGCGGTTTATCTCAAAAATGACCGTCTTTGGGAGAACGAGACGCACGAGGATGAGAAGGACGTCTGAGCCTTTCACCATCTTGTGTGTATGTCGATTGGGAAACGTAGAAGGGTCGTAAACGTGAACGGAGGAGGTAGAGTGGTGTGTGAGCTGCGGGCGTAGCACAGGTTGATCTTAAATGGACCACGATGCTGTGACGTCGCCCTACGTCACGCGTTTGATTCGATCAAATGCACCCCCTTGTCCCACGAGTCACGAGGACTTTGGTCTCGCAAGCCAAGTGACTTTTTCAATTGCTCCCTGCCGCGATGGAACCTGCCTCGACTCGTAGTTTTGCCCAGTTTCTCGCTGAATGAAGACCCACATGGCATTGATGTATTACCAGTGCTCATCACCACACAATTACTTCAATTTTAGACCTCTTCGAAAGCATTTGATCGGCTCGGATGCTATGACTTCCTGGATTCCACACGGTTAAAAACCTTGAGTTTCCGGAATGAGGCTCTTTATAGGAATGCGCGGCTTGAGCACCGACCACTTCGCCACTTGTCACGGTCAGCGTGACCCGTGACAGAAAATTTTGACTCGATTCAGTCATCAGTTCTTAATCTATGTATGCGTCGCTTTGTTCGCCTTCTTCCAAGATCTATCAGCCATCCAAGACCGAGAGGTTCTAATCCGCACGCGTTTTTACCCCCGAGGAACATGTCGACGGAGGCTGGCACACACAAAGACCCTGTTACGGGAGAGCTGATCTCCAAGACGTACGTCGGCAGTAGCTTTTGCGCTCCAGCTCCATCTGATTATCTGGATGTGCACAGGGAGCTCAAGCGCCGCGAAAAGGCGCGTGCTAAGGAAGCTAGCAAGGCTTCCAAAGCGGCGCAGCAGCCGGAAGCGACGGTGGTCAAGTCCGCGAAGCCTGCTGAGGAGGAACTGAGCCCCAACGTGAGCGCACCAGTCTCAACCACGACGCACTCGTTGATCATGCGAGCTACAGCAATACTTCGAGCTACGATCTCGTCAAATTCTCGCCCTCAAGCAATCTCAGAACCCGAATCCTTATCCTCACAAGTTCCATGTTACCCAGTCAATCAGTCGGTATATCGAACACTACGGACCGGAGGGCGTGATCGCACCTGGTCAAAAGCTCACCGCGAAAGTGGAAGCTCTCGCCGGTAGGATACACAACATCCGTGCCAGCGGCTCGAAGCTGGTCTTCTACGATCTTCACGGCGAGGGAAAGAAGGTGCAAATTATGGCGAGTCAGCAGGATGCGAAGGATCCCGAGTCGTTCGTTGCAACCCACGAGCTGTTTAAGCGTGGTGACATCGTCGGAGTGATCGGGACACCGTCCCGAACGAAGAAGGGAGAGCTCAGTATCTCGCCCCAAGAAATCGTGCTTCTCGCACCGAATCTGCACCAACTTCCGTCGACCCACTTTGGCTTGAAGGACCAGGAGACGCGCTATCGCAAGCGGTATCTGGACCTCATTCTGAACGACAACACCCGCAATCTATTTGTGACTCGGAGCAAGATCTTGACCTACATTCGCCGTTTCCTCGATGCCCTCGGGTTCATGGAAGTCGAGACACCGATAACTTCGCTTCTTGCGGGTGGTGCGACTGCCAAGCCGTTTGTCACGCACCATAACGACCTGGACCTGGACCTCTTTCTCCGGATTGCGCCAGAGCTGTACCTGAAGCAGCTGGTTGTCGGCGGACTAGACAGGGTGTACGAGATTGGACGGGTGTTCCGAAACGAAGGCATCGATCTGACTCATAACCCCGAATTCACCATCTGCGAGTTCTATATGGCATATGCGGACATGGAGGATCTCATGGAGATGACCGAGGCGATGATTGAGGGTCTGGTGAGATATCTGTTCGGCGGGACCAAGGTGACATTCCATCCGGACGGAAACAAGGGTCAGGAGGGTGCCAGAGAGATGGTACTCGATTTCCAGCGACCATGGAAGCGGTTCGACATGATTGAAACCCTGGAGGAGAAGTTGAGCGTCAAGTTTCCTCCTGGAGAGACTCTCCACACCGATGCAGCCAATGTGTTCTTGAGAGAACTCTGCGTCAAGGTGTGTTCTGCCCGTGCTGTGTGTAGGCTGGACTAACTCCGCTGCAGCACAACGTAGACTGCAGCGAGCCGCGGACGAACGCTCGGTTGTTGGACAAGCTGGTGGGCGAGTTCATCGAGCCTTTGTGCATCTCTCCGTCCTTCATTGTCGGACATCCGCAAGTGATGTCGCCGCTGGCCAAGTACCACCGATCGCGGCCTGGTCTTTGCGAACGATTCGAGGGCTTCATGTGTGGAAAGGAGTTCTGTAATGCCTATACGGAGCTGAATGATCCGTTCGAGCAACGGCTTCGGTTCGAGGAACAAGTCCGTCAGAAGGACCAGGGCGATGATGAGGCTCAGGGCATCGACGAGACATTCATCGACGCGTGAGTGCTGCTTGTTTGGGCAACCCCATTCGGTTTCTGACTCGGCGTTCCAGACTGGAACACGCCCTCCCGCCGACCGGAGGCTGGGGCATCGGCATCGACCGACTGGTTATGTTCCTCACCGACTCGAACAGTGCGTGGGCCTGTTTGTCATGCTCTGTTGTTACTGATGGCTCTCTAGACATCAAAGAGGTCTTGCTGTTCCCGGCGATGAAGCCCTTGGAAAGCACGGCGTCTGGCACAGCTGCTGCTCCGTCAGAACCCGCCGTTGTGCCTTCGTAGACGAATATCGAGTAACCAACCTTAGCTTGAATACGATTACCAAATTGAATCGCCGGGCCTCGAGCTGCCTCCTTACGTTCAGGAGCGGGGCTACACAGTGTCCGCTACTGCTGACATGTATCACCTCCTCATCGGTGCTACGGGGCTGCTGTGGGTCCAATCAACGCGGGCTATCCGGATTCGTGCACATCAATTACCCGATTGGCTACCCGCGATCTGTGCGGGGTAAGCTTAGCCTAATACTACCGCGTTGGTCGTTGCTACTTCTGTTTGCCCCGAGTGTGTGGTTTGCTTTCTTCTCATCTCGGACTTGCTGCTGTTGCCTACTTGGCTTTGGTTTTTGGGCTGGACCCAGCTATAGGCTTCATACATATAAACACGCTGGTTCTTCAGCGAATGGTTTCTCCAGGTCAATTGCGAGCTCCTTCTCAAGCATCCGCGTTCCTCCTCCTCCACTCAAGAGAAACCCATCTCGACCGACCAGACTAGACCAGACCAGACCCTCAATTGCCATGCGCTCTTCCTCCCTGATCATCTTCCTGCTCCCCGTCGCGGTCCTTGCAAGCTCGCTCGACACTCGCCATCGGCACCACGGGCACGCGGTGGCTCTGCGGCGCACCGCAGAGACCGCTGCCGCGAACGGGAACGGCACGGAGAAACGCGCGACGGCGGCGACGGCGTTCAATGGCGCGCGAATGACGTGGTACGGGACGGGCACCGGGGCGGACGCGTGCACGGGCAAGGACCACCGGTCGACGGACTACGTCGTCGCGATGGACTTCCACCTGTTCCGGAGCCAGGCGGGCAACGCGGCGTGCTGCGGGCGGCGGCTCAAGCTGGAGTACAACGGGAAGACGGCGTATGCGACGTGTGTGGACGAGGTGCGGCTTGTCACCGCGCTGTCTCGCTCCGGTCCTGACTTGCCGGCAGTGTGCTAGCTGCTACAAAGAAGGCCAGCTGGATCTGACGCAAGGACTGTTCAAGTACTTTGCGGCACTGTCAGAAGGTGCGTCCGAGTTCTGCCGTTCATCTGCCATTGCTACAGCATCTGACAGGGATAATATACGGCTCATGGTCGTATGCGGACAATCACGCCGCTGCCGTGGGCGACGGGGCTCCGACAAACGACACGAGTGCCAGTCAAGTTCACACGTTCTCAGCAACTTCCTCCTCGTTTTCAGCTGCGTCCGAGCCCTCCGCTGTCGAAACGCCTGTCAGCGCCGACACGGAAGTACCGGAGTCGGCTGTTTCTCCGTCGCCAGATCCAGCGCCGGTGCCAACGCAGGCCATTACCAACGTCATTGACTCGCGCGCCCTCAATGAAGCCGGCGACGAGTCTGCTGCACTTCTTGGCGTGACGGTGCCCGGTGTTCCCGGGCTCATGCTAGTGATCGGGGCGTTCTTGGCTGCCCAACTCTGATCTTGCGATGTATGCTACTCTGTCTCCCGGGGTTGTCTCCCAGTCTCAAGCCGGCTTGGGTTCTTGTCTGTACACTGTGTCTGTGTTTGTACTCCTGTAAATGATACGAATTGTGCACGTTGATTCGGAGGACCACGCCCAAGCCTCGCTGGTTCAAAACGAACAAACATGCGACTGGGGTGAGTCTTCCTATCGATTAGATGCACCACGCCTGGCCGGCTCAGATCTGTCAAAAAATGGCCGCCCTGGACCTGTAGCACAGCCTCGCCTGATGTAAGCTGCTCCACCGGCAGTGGCGTTGGGCTGAAAAGGGCAACGTGGTACGTACACAACGTTTCTCCGCCCTGCCGTAAAAGAAGAATGGAGCCGTTACGAGGGCGTGTTTATTTTGCAACCAACAACCACGTTGTCTCCTTCCCCCATCTCCTTCCCTCAACCGTATAAGTTCTTGATCGACAAGGACGCTCTCACTTTCTTTGATTTTGAAACATAGTACACACACTCGCTCTGTTATGTTGAATCCCGCTCTCCTCACTGCTGTTCTCGTCCTCTATGCCGGCTCTGTTTCCGCCAGCCCCCACAATGCACCGCGCAGCCACCACCGACGGATGCAAGTCGGTAGCGTCAAGACGTTCAATGCCTCTGATGCTGTTGCCCTCGAAAAGCGGCAGTCGAGCTTCTCTGGCGTGCGCATGACCTGGTACCCGACGGACACTGGCGCGTGCGTCTCGGCTAGCTGCTTTCGACGTTCATTTCTGTTTAACATTCTCGCAGCGACGCGTGCACGGGCAAGAACCACCTCTCGACTGATTGGGTTAGTACCAGCTTGCTTCGAGTCAATGTGAACATGATATATCTGTGCAGGTTGTTGCGATGGACTTCGGGCTGTTCGGGGATGGGTCTGCCTGCTGCGGACGGCAGATACAAATCTCATACGGTGGAAAGACTGCGGTTGCCACGTGCGTTGACGAGGTGCGTTCAACTTCAGGATTTGGGACCCCATTTATTCACACACATAACTAGTGTGCGAGCTGTTACAACCACGGTGAACTGGATCTGACCGAAGGCTTGTTCACCTACTTTGTTGGTGATCCCGGGATTGGTGGGTTTTACTATTTACGTGATTGCAATAGCTGATGTAACTTGAACATAGGTGTGTTTGATGCGTCTTGGGTGTATGCCGATGGCACGACGACGACGTCAACCTCGACTCACACGACACCCACCACCACCTCGACAACCCACACGACACCTACCACCACTTCGACACACCACACGACGCCGACTACCACATCGACCTATGTCGCGCCCACTACCTCATCGACTTACGTCGAGCCGACCACATCATCGACTTACGTTGCGCCGACTACTACATCATCGACCTACGTCGCACCGACCACAACTTCGTCGACCTACGTCGCGCCGACCACAACTTCGTCGACTTACGTTGCGCCGACCACAACTTCGACGCACTCGACCACACACACCACCCCGATCACAACTCACACGACGTCCACTCACACTACTCCGACTACGACGTCGACCCACACCACTCCGACCACCACTCACACCACGTCGACTCACACCACTCCGACTACCACTTCAACCACTCACACTCCAACCACCACCTCGACTCACACAACGCCGACTACGACCTCGACCTCGACCAAGCACACGTCGTCCCACTCGTCCACGCACTCCGCCGCTGCTCTCGTGGCCCACGCGTCGTCCTCGTCTGCGTTGAAGCCGTCGTCCGCCAAGCCGTCATCCGTGAAGCCTACATCAGTAAAGCCTACGGTGGCGGCGACAACCGAGTCGCCGCTGACGCTTGTCGGCAGCGTCGCAACGACCGCGTCTGTGGCTGCCACCCAGGCAATTGCCAACGCGGGTGCCGACACGACGCCGTCTGTTCCTGCGCCTGGTGGTGCACTGAGTGGCGCGGTCGCCCACGGCGCGTCAGGCCAATCTGTGTTGCTTGTGGCCCTTCTGAGCTCTGTGGTTGTGTTCGTGCTCTAGACAGTCTGTATTCCAGGAGATACCGATACATGCTTGCCGGGCAGGCAATCCTGCATTCGACTGACGCATCATACATAACGGACTTCCTCCCGGACTGCACTATCACTTACATACGTAGATTGTTGCCGGCAACTACCGAATACAACTCGCTGAAGTTATCTCATCCTTCCCAGCCCATGATCGATCCCAACATTTTTGGGCATCTGCATTGATTACGTTTGCTGGCCGCTCCCTTTTCGCTCTCACGTAGGCTACGCAGTTCTCCCCTCGTTGGTCTCCCGTCCTCGCTGTTGTCTGTTTCTTTCCCTGCTTGATTGCAAACACCTGCCAGCCGAAGCAAGCGTTTACCTCAAGCGATCATGGAATCACCTCCTCGGCAAGTGGTGTGACGAATCAAAATGCTGGCCCCGCAAGGCTCTTGATACCTAGTCCCATACAATTACTGCCCCGTACTAAGTATCGAGTCTCGACCATGACAGACTAGATGCGCCTTCAAACGCTGACAGCGACTGAGTCGATGGACAGGCGTGGACGCATGGTGCTCGCCGAGGCACCGAGATAGCCTCTCCTTGCCCGAGGCCGCGACTCCTTGCTCCGCCAAGCACAGTGCCGTGATGTCACCTGCTCCTTGTGGCTCCTGTGAAGAGCAAACTGGGCGGGGAGGAAAAAAAATCTCGCATGCAGGTTTAGGCGACACAAGGCATTGATGGCGATCACTGATATTATCTACCGGGCACTTGACAACGTTTGACAACCCTCTCCTACCCTCTCTCTGCTCCCCCCTTCATAACGCACGTCTCGGGTCCGCCCTCCCTCACGCTCATTAGCTTTAACCATACATACACAATGCTCTCTGCGGTGTCCATCTCACTCGCGATCTTGTTGACGACTGCGTCCTCTGCCGTCGCCAGCCACTCGCATGAGGCGCGCAAGCACAATGCTGTCTTCCGTAGTAGCAGCCGCTCCACCAACGAGACCGAGTCCACTCTTTCCAAGCGCGGTAACAGCGGCACCATGACCTGGTATCCGACCGACACTGGCCCGTAAGTTGCATTGTCTTTCTGTTGTTTTTTCACGTGCGGCGACTGATGCCCGTCTCAGAGATGCATGCACGGGCAAGACACACAGCGACAGCGACTGGGTGAGTTACCATCTCCTCCACTGTTCTCCAGCTCACCATTTGTCAGTATGTCGCGATGGACCGGCGGATGTTTGGGGATGGGTCCCCGTGTTGCAACAAGCAGATCACCATCTCGTACAATGGCAAGCAGACAACAGCCACTTGCGTGGACGAGGTTTGTTCTTTTATCATTATAGTCATACTCGCATGCTCATAAAGCATGCTATAGTGCATGACCTGCGACACTCCGACCTCGCTGGACATGACCAAGGGCCTGTTCCAGTTCTTCGAGTCAGATCTCGGCCAAGGTGTCTTCCAAGGCGACTGGTGGTATGCTGGTAGCGGTGGTGGAAATGATGGCGGAAACGGCGGTGGCAACCAACAGACAACGACCACCGCCCAGAAGACCACTACCACCCACAAGACGACGGCCACCCCGACCACGACGTGGACCCCGCCGCCCCCGCCCCCTCCTACCACCACGTCCACCAAGACGACCCACAAGACGACCGCGACGCCCACAACGACTAGCACAACGAGCACGACCAGCACCACAAGCACGACTAGCAGCACGTCCACGCACCACACGTCGTCGTCCGCCAAGCCGTCCTCGTCCTCTGCCAAGCCCTCATCGTCGTCCGCCAAGCCCTCGTCTTCGTCCTCGGCCTCTGCTAAGCCGTCTTTCTTCGTGAAGCCCTCGTCCGTCGCCCAGCCGTCCTCGACTTCCTCCTCCGTCGCCCCTGTTCCTACGGACGTTGTTGCCAACGTTGGCGGCGGCCCGGTCGCCGGTTCCGCTGCCGGCACCTCTGCCGGAGACTCGTCCTCCCCTGTCTCCGTGCAGGGTGCCCTGACTGGCAGCGGCAAAAGCGCGGGCACGGCCCTCAGTGCCCCGGCCCGGCTCGTCGCAGCCGCCGCGCTCCTCGCGTTTTTCTTCTGATCCGATTTAACATCTGATTACATATACCCCCCAATCTCATCTCGCTAATGTGGATACATTCGTCAACTTATCATCATCATCGTCCGGCCCATTGAGATTAGCGTAGCACAATCCCACTTCTTCTGTCCATCTGTTGCAATTGATTTGCATTATTCAATAAACGACTTAGCGTTGTCCCTAAAACTCGTCCTCGTCTTTCCAGTTCTTGGCCTGATCCCAGTAGCCTTTCAGTTTGTCCCCCAACAACTCTCTCGCAGCGTGGTCCGTGGGACAACTCCGGCCCTTGAAGTCGTGGAACGACCGATCCCGGAGCATGCCTTCCCAAATAAGCACACACTTGTTGTCTTCGAGTGGCACGCCCCCGTCCTGCTCCTGCTCCTGCTGCTCCTTGCCGTCCTCTTTGGCCTTTGCCTTGTCCCCATCGTCGCCACCGTCGTCCAACACCACGTCTTCTCCACCGCGAGGCCTGGCTGCCTGTGTCCAATCGATTCGGTTGAGCATCAGCTTCTTGTAGTGTCGCAGATACTTGGCCGCCCCTTCGACATAGACCATGCTGAACTGCTTGTTGAATATGCAGACTCCGGTCAGGTTGTTCTGCTCTGCGTTCTTTCGCACTTTAAAACGGTGCGCGGGGTCCGATAGCGTAAGCACCCTGCAGGCCATCCATAAGTAAGTACAGGCAGAGCAAATGGGGGGACTACGCACCTGAACACCGCCCCGTATACTCCGCGTTTGTCCTCCTCCGCCTTCTTCGTCTCTAACTTCTCACGTCGCTCCTCGTCAGTCAACTTCCTCTCCGCGTTCGTCTTGTCGTGCACGTGCTTCCGCATCGCTACTTCCCGCCGGATTCTCGCCTCCACCCGTGTCGGGTCTTGCACAGCATCCGACGTCAGCACCTTCATCATGTTCGACAGCCGGACTGCAAAACGTTGATAATCTTATCCAGGAATATGAAGCAAAATACCAACCTTTCGGCGCGTCAGGGGGAATAAGCCCCATGGCCACCCGATCCCGCTTATCTTGTAGCTCGGCAGCCCGCTTGAGCTTACGCATCTTCTTCCGTTCCTGTGTATCCTCGTTTGAACAACTGGGAAAGTCGGCATCCAAACAACCTTACCTTCTTCGTCAACATCAGGGGCTTCAGCTGCACCGAGTCTTTGTCGCCAGGGGCAGGAATGGGAATCGGATGCTGGATGTATATCGAAATGGGCGACTCGTTGTTCCGGATATTAAGATGCTCGATCCCAAGCTCGATATCCTCATACTTTTTGTTGGGCAGCAACGGCTGGTCCCACCATTCAGCATCTGGCGGTGGAGGCCGCTGGAAACGCTGTTTAATTCATGATGGAAGACAGGAACGCAGAGCAGACCTTGATCCCCCGCTCGATGCCCATGTCCCCATCCAAACCCGCTTTCCTCGCACTCTCCGCGATACGCTGCTTCAGGGCCTCGAGCTGCTGCTCCTGACGCATCTGGCTCCCCAACGCAACATATTTGCCCTTGGGATTAAATCGGAAATTCCGGCCAGTGCGCTCCCGTGGGGCGCCCTCGAACAATCCGGGCTCTTTAGATGACGACGCCGCAGCGGCTGCCGCTGTATATGGATTCGCAGACTCGACGACAACCGGCGCGACCGGGGCCGGAGGCGGCGTGGGTGCGTTACGCACATTGGCCTGCGTGGACAGATGAGCGGAGCACGAGATAATGTGCTCAGAGCCTACCTTGATGGAAGCGAACTTGGGCTGCATCGGCTTATAGCGGTCCTTCTTCGACTGAGGAGCCGCGGGCGTCGTGTCCAGGAGTAGAGGGTGGGCGGCCATCTTGAGCCCGACGCCCTGCGGTGCGGGCTCTGCAGCCGCTCGCGCTTTGTTCTTCGACGCTTGGGATACGGCCTACGCGCTTACATCAGGCAGGCTAGTTTTTCGAATACCAAGGCACGCACGGCATACGGGTTGTCCTTCACTGCAAGCCTGCTCTGCGCATCCTGGATCATGTTCTTCACTTTCTTCGTGTCGATGGCCGGTGCCGGCGGCTTCGCTGCGGCGGGAGTGGGTGCGGAGGACGGGACGGCAGAAAGGGCGGGGTTCTTCATCGCAGCCAGCTTGGCCGCGATTTCCGCGCGCTTCTGCGCGATGAGGGCGGCACCTGTGAGCTGCACATACCGGAGGTCGATCAGTGTGTAGGTCTCTTCCGAGTAGCGCAGACACTTACGGCTGGCGCGGCGGCCACATTTGTCGGTTTCTGTGGTAAGACAGGTTATAGAATCGCGTCAGAGTGATATTGAGTGGGGTGAATTCACCTTGGGTGAACGAGAAACCACTCACGTCGCTACGGAAGGGGTGTCAAGCCCATATTAGCTTGGTGCACGTCTGGTGAGCGACAGAGAGCTTGCCTTTTGAGTTTTTTGCTGCTAGACGTTTCGCCTGTCCCATCGAAGGCGCGTTTCTTGTCGCTCATCCTGTCGCGTGGAGTGTCGGCGACGAGGAGTACTGTGTGCACTTGTTTACTGTCAATCAATCAATTCTACCCTCCATCTTCATCATGTTTTCCCTGCATTCGCTGGCGCGCACGGTGCTCTCCGCCGCCCGCCGCCCCCTGCAGCCGCACACGGTGTTCACGCGTGAGCGAAACAACCTCGCGCCGCGGAAAGTCAAACACGTCAAGCGGCACAAGGGCCGCGTGCCCATCCCCATCGGCGGGTCGATCAAAGGCACGACGCTCGCGTACGGCGACTGGGGTCTGCGCATTAAGGGAAATGGCGCGCGTCTCACTGCCAAGCAGCTGGAGACTGTTGAGGAGGTCGTGAAGAAGAAGCTGAAGATTATCAAGGGCGTCAAGGTCTACCTGCGCATCTTTCCGGATATCCCTGTCTGCATCAAGGTGTGTAGGGGAACGCTCCCAGCGGCCGCTGCAGTGGTTGATGAGACGTGAAATAGGGAAATGAAACCCGTATGGGGAAAGGAAAGGGTACATTCGAGTTCTGGGCTTCCCGGTAACAAAGCTGCACTCTTCCTAAGTAAGCGGAACTCATGGTCTGCAGAGTCTCCACCGGTCGCGTTGTTGTTGAAATTGGCGGGACCCCCATCCGAGAGGAGCTCGCACGCGAAGGTCTGCACCGTCTAACCCTTCGCCTTCCTGCACTCATATGCACGACTTGTAGCTCTCCGCATCGCCGCTGCGAAACTACCTACCAAAATGGAGTTCATCCGACGGAGCACACCTCCCCGACTAGGCACGCTCATCCTCCGGCCGCCGCCCACACTGGCGCAAGCGCCCGTGCCTATTATTCCTGACGCCGTGCTCGCATCCGAGACGACGGCCAATCTGTAGTAGGAATAGTAATCGAACCTGTCCCGGTTTTCATCGACGGCCACCGAAGAATGTCCCCGGCGTCATGCGTTGCTTTCGTACAAGGTCAACCTGTCGTTCCACGGCCTGAACTCCCATCCAGTGCCGGAGCAGCGGAATCGACCGCCGTCAACCTATGCGAAGTCTGGCCCCACAAACATACCAAACTGTGGACGTTTCAGCATCTAGGAGTGTCAATGAGAGGCGGCGCGACGGACATGGCGAGCGCAAACGCATGCGATGTGGCTGGCAGAACATTGAGTAGCGTGTAGAATCACTCACCCGAATCCATACTCGCGAGCCATGCAATCCTGCAATGCTGATTTATTACAGCTATCTCACCTTCGGGCATAGCTTCCAATGAGCATGGCCCGCCGAATCCATGAATTTTCGATATCCTGCAGATAGTCGGTGCACTTGCAGGACCCGGTAAGTGCTGCAAGTCAAGTCTGGGGCTGAGCAGGTAATACATGATGACCGGTAGTGTTCAGAGGTTCATTGTGGATTGTATCAGGTACTATTTCATCAGCCATCTTACAGTTTCCCGCCGAGGTCTGAATCGAAATTCGCAGCCACTGAGATATGACCCCACTTTTCCGTCATGCCCTGGAACAGAATCTATATCATACGCTGTATCGAAAATCTGCGCGACGTATCTGTCTTTCTCGAGCTATCTGTTTCAAGGTGCGGCTGACCAACATAAATGAAGTTCATTCGACAGACAAGTCCACTCTGCACGCTCATCTTCCGGCCGCTCTCAACAACGCGCTCCCCGTCCTGTCCTGCCGGTGACACCGAAACGACTACTGGGCAGACTTGGAGAGGAGAGGAAATCACAAATTACGACTCGTTTGGGTATCATCCAGGTCCACCAAAAAAGGCACACACATCCGTCCACATCCGTCGCGATTCATCTTCATCCGTGTCAGGGAACCTTTTGTTCCCACGGCCACACCTTGCATCCGGTGCCGGAGCAGCGGAAACGGCCGTTGACTTGCGCGAAATCTGCCCCGCATGCATAGCAGAACTGCGGATGGGTCAGCGAAATGAGCGAGTCAATGAGGGCGGCGCAACGGACGTGGTGCCCGCAAACGCAGGTCATGTGGCTGGAAGCAGATATGAGACCGAGCTCGGAAGTGTTGTGCGGGTTCACTCACTTGCATCCATACTGAGGTGGCGTGTGATTGTCAGATGGGAGTCCAGAGGGGAGGAGATGATACTGCACCTGTCGCTCGATGGTCTGCCGACACTGGGAATGAAGATCAACTCCACTGGGACGAGGTTGTCAGTGGGTGGGCGGGCTCACTTTCGGGCATCGTTTCCAGCTCTCACGCTCGATCAACTCCAAAAACTCTCGGTCTCCTATGGATTGTCGGTGCATAGGCAGGACTCGGTACGCGCTGCAGGTCAAGTCTGGGGGCGCAGGGGGTAAGGGATGTCCAGTCAAGTCCAGAGGGTCGTATGCAAACCTTCATGCCACTTGCACCTGCACGCTTTGCAGATATAGCCGCGGCACCGCAGGCACTGCACCTGCACCGCCGGTTTCCCTCTGAGCGTCGGCGACGTGGCCAGGTCGAAACTCTCCCCGCAGCGGTATGGGCTATCGTGACACGACCGTCGTTAGCGCACCCGTCCAGCACGAGATGAAAAGGGTGCACCAACCAGTCAAGGATGTCCATCGACGCGAGATGTTCCGCAAAGTCCCAATCTTGCATGTTATCTGGCCCCAGGACGATCTCCGCGATGTTCCTCGAGATCCTAGACGCGCGTTTGCCGGGGGGACAGCCCTGAGCCGAGCAGCGGTCAGTTCCCGCCGAAGCGATACCTACCTGGCATAATACACTCGTAGATACTCACCGGGCACAGTTCGGCTCGCACGAAGTTGGCTTTCAGCCCCGGCTCAGACATCTCCATGGGCCCCATCACCGTCCCGTATACACGGGGGTTGAATATCACATTGAGGTGCCTGAAGATCGAGGACGAGAAGCACGCCTGGTGCCGCCGGTCGGGTGATAGTAAGCAAGCGGCGCAGAGAGAGGGATTCCACGCACCCCGCAGAACGCGTGCTTGCACGACTTGAAGTATAGCCCATATAAGATCCGCTCCCTGCGCGGTATGTGCAACTGGCTGTTGATAAAGACATCAATGAGACAGGGCGGGGGAGGGGGATCAGCAACGTGATTGCAAACTCACTCCTTGGCCGCCTGCCACGGCGTCGACGACAGCTGCATATCCCGCAGACAGATCCCGCACTGTACTGCTCAGCTCAGCCCTCAGTCCGCGAGTCGAGCGCCGACGCACCCCCGCGTTCCATGCTCGCTTTCTTTATGTTCTCCCGAATCGCCTGCGCCTGGCGCTGGTCCGGGTTCGTGAGGTTCTCGTACAGCGCGCGGTGCGTCTCGATGGCTCCCCAGCCAGGCTGCTCGGTCTGAAATACGCCGCACGGCGTGGTAAGAAATTGGAGGCTGCAGAAGCGTGTCTTCGCACGCGGACGAGCGGGTCTGCGCACCTTGTCCCACGGCATGCCGATGCCAGAGCTGGCGCGCTTGAGACGCTCCATGAACGGGGGCATGCGCCTCGCCAGACGGTGCGATTGTAAGTAGTGCGTGCGAGGAAGAGAGCAAGTGGGCGGTGAGCTGATGTCGCCAAGCGTCTGGCTGCCAAGTTTTGTCAGTTGAGAATTCCCCCGGAGCGGTCCGCGACTTGCATCGTCCAGTGTCCTTCTTCCGGATGCAGTAAGTAGAGGAATCAGGATCCCAGTGCGCCTCCGTAGTTCCGCAGCGGAAATTGACTGGCTTCTGTTGATACCATGCCGTTTCCGGTGACGTATTGAGTTCAGCGTCGTCAAGTCGAGTCACCGATGTCTGTGGAGAGTCTAGCTAGAGCTATCTGAATTCGGACGATCTCCTGGACACGCGCGCGATCTGAATTTTGGCAGATGGGCTTCGCGGCGAACGATGATAGTCTCGATACTTTCGATAGTGGTATCATAAATACCCCGCGGGGAGCTGCTCTTAAGCCCGCGCGCGTCCCATCCCGACGAAGCGACAGTGACGGCGGCATCACCAAGGCAGTTCCAGGATCCACGACTCCGACTATTTCCCAAGGGCAGTCGTTGCATGACTGCGATTCCTTCCAGTCCATCCTGCACTATGCTCCGTTTAGCCAGGACCGGTGCTCTGAGGCTTGCCGCTTTTCCGGACCCGTGCCCGGAGTACTGAGCCGGTCTGTATTCTGCGATAAGGGCGCGTACCGCCCCAGATCTGATACTCTTACTTCAAAATCCACAGCACTCCGCACCCCGACCTCGCCGATCAGATTCATAGCTAGGAACACTGGCACAGGTGCCCGTGACAGCGACTGAAGGAAGGCCTGCCATTGCAGGTGGCAGTACCATCAATCATTACCATCAATTTGATGTGATCGCTTGACGGTCATAGGCCTGCTCCCAACTTCACCGTCCAGCACACATACTTACATACATCCCCAGTGATCATCTCAGTGCTGCGGACGCTTGGATCTCGTCTGAAATCGCTTATGCGGCCGCGCATTTTGCGGGACGTCTCAGCAGGCCTCAACAAGCCTTAGTCTATAGATGGCTATCAACTCGTGGCTGACCTCCGCTATGGTTCCGTCCCTATCCCGTCGTACATTCCCCAGCGAACATCGCTGAAAAAAATACCGCTTTCTGTGCTCTATCTTGCACCGCATCCGGATCCGCCAAGGCCTGCATGTATCATATATCATATATGCTTGCTACCCTCTCCCTGCACATCAGTCCAAGTTGACGTTGAACATTTTGACAGGGGCTGCTGATTGGATTTAGCGGCGCCCTTGTCCTCCCCACGCCTCAGGCTCCAGGTCAGTTCATAGCTATCCGCTTAGAGTATTCCTTGACGCGCTGATATTGAATCTAGAATCTGTACAGCCTTTCCGACGGACAGGGTCCACATAAAACGACATCCACGACGGGGATACATGCTTTACCTTTCCGCATCGAGCGACAGCTCCCCACCCCCCCTCTCCTCCTCCGTTTTCTCTGAGTCACCAGCGATGAACGTGCAGTTTTCGTTCGGCCAGAACCGGTCGTACTTCTGCAGCGCGGGGTCCGCGTACGCATGGTGGCGCGCTCTCTGCTCTGAATGAGTTGCACACCGTGCTGACTGATCTCGCACGGATGGCAGGAGCACGAACGCGATCCCGGCCGGCCTCACGCGCCTGCTGCTCAACCGTAACCACATCGACGCACTCGCGGCGCCGCACGACGTTTCGTTCCCGATGGAGGCCAACACATTCGGCGCGTGCTGGCGGACGGCGGCGGGGCGGAATGCGTTCGAAGGTGTGTGTCCTACCCTACCCCCGTACTTTTGCTCGCGATCCGCATACATACCCATCTGATCCGCGCCACTGCCAGCGAACTTCCTCGGGCGGCCGTATACGCGCCTGATGCGCTTCATGCAGGCGACGCACCGCCGCGGCGACAAGACGACGCGCACGGTGTTCGGGCCGGGGCAGAGCTACTTCTCGATGTCGGGTGCGGGGTACAGCTGGCAGAAGCTGCCCCTCGCGCTCGAGGACGATCTGCTCGATTGCATGAAGACGCGCCGGCCGGTGGCCGTGGCGCTCGGCGTCGGGGGCGCGTACGTTGCGCTGTACAGCGACGGGACGGTGACGTTTGATCTCAGGGGGCATTATCCGATGGTGGATCGGCTTATCCGCGATACGGCGGAGGCCGCGAGGAAGCGCGGCGTGATGGTGGGTGCATATCAATTTCTTTATTTTTCCGTGGGACTCAATTTTTTGCGCGCAGTATGTTGCACTGAACCCGTTCATCGCTGGCGAATACTACGCGGTATATGGCGATGGCTCTGCGACGTGGAACTTCCCGACCAAGTGGGGCGCGGATGTGACCCATGTCAGCCAGCAGATCCAGGCTGTTCCCGTGCAAAGTACGCCAAGTGTCGTTTCCGCCGCCGGAGGAACCAGTCCTCCGCTGTCCACTGCTGGGGGATCGAGTCCGGCTGCCCAGCTTCCCGCTGTGCCTAGTCCGGCACCGACTCCTGCGCCAGAAATGCCGAATCCGATTGCACTCCCGCATCCTTCTGTTCCTGAGCAAGTCCAGTCCGTAGCTATGCCCCAATCTGGGGTCGTGCCCCAGTCCGTGGTCATGCCCCAGCCCGTGGTCATGCCTCAGCCCGTGGCGAACCCAGCAGTCCACGCTCCTTCCGTCGGCGGGCCCGCCGGCAGCGCCCTACCTTCTCCGTCTCCTTCCATCGGACATCAGCGGCCGCCATCCGTGTCGAGTGTCAACTCCCATGCGTCGGGATCGCCGATGATCCAGCCACAATACACGGGCTCGAGTTCGGCGTCCGGCAGCCAGCAACGCCCGCCGTCTATGCATTCTCATTCTGCGTCGTACTCCGCTGGAGGATCGCCGACGATGCAAGCGCAAGGTTATGGACACGCTCAGCACGCTTCGATGAGCGCTCCTTACACGACGTCGCCGCTGTCGGAGACCAGTTCTCCTGCATTTGGACACGAGGCATGGACGTCGCAGAACATGGGCCAGGTGCCGCAAGTCTCCTCGACAACGGCTACGACGACGACGAGCGCAGGGTACCAGGCATCGACGTCCCAAAATGCTTCAGCCAGCAGCATGAACCACGTGCAGCAGGCGGTGTCGACGTCCCAAAACATGGTTCCGCAAACCTCGACGGCTACGACGACGACGACGAGCTCAGGGTACCAGCCATCACCGACTGAGAATATTTCAGCAGCAAGCAACATGGGCCATGTGCAGCAGGACGCATCGACGTCCCAGAACATGGTGCCACAAGCTTCTTCGACGACGGCGACGAGCTCGGGGTACCAGGCATCGACGTCGCAGAATATTTCGTCAAGCAATATGAATTCCATGCAGCAGACCTCGTCAATGACGGGCTCGGGAAGTCCGGCGGTTCCATCATATGGGTCGTCCAACATCACATCAGGTGGCACGCAGTCCGCTTCGACCGGTGTGCCGACCTCGGGGGGAACGACATCCAGCTATCAGGCTACATCGCCGGCGACAGCGAGCATCACGTACGCGGCAACAGCGGACAACGCCTACCCCGCAGAGAGCACGTTCGTGCCCCCGCCAGCGTACGCGCCGTTGCCTGCCGCCGCGGAATACACTGTGCCACAGTTGCAGCCCCAGCGGCCGCCGCGGCCAGCGGCACAGGCGCCGCCGCCGCAGAAGCTGTCGTGGTCGAGCGGGCTCTCGCTGGGGCTCAAGGCGGCGCAGGGCCTGAACAACATCGTCAACGCGATGAACGGGACGCCGACTGCGAACACGCAATATCAGTACCAGAACCAGGCGAATCAGTACCAGTACCAGAACCAGAACCAGGCGGCGACGACCGCGTCGACGACGGGCGCTCTGCTGGGGCTTGTGGGGAACACCCTTAACGTCGATCCCAGTCTGATCCAGGTGGCGAGCGGGGTCGCGACGCTCGCCAGCGCCGGCGCTTCCGCTCTGCAGGGCGGCGGGGCGGCGGGTGGGAATGTGAACAACAATTACGCTGTGGGCGGGAATCAGGTCATGCAGGAGACGATCGTGCAGCAGCAGGACATCGCAGTAGTCGATTACACAGGAGGCAGCGGCGTTGTGGTGGAGGACATCTCGACGACCACTGTGGTTCAGGAGACGGTGTATTGAAATGGTAACTACGCTCTCATGCATGTATGTACATATATATATATATCACAATACTCTCATACCCTGCTTGTCCACTCCCACCATGGAGCCATCGGGCACGATTACTTGGAAAGTCGGCCAAGACACGGTCCAGACCGCCTACTGGGTCTACGGCGACCTCAGCAAAGCCGCGATCCCGCTCATCGTGCTGCACGGCGGCCCGGGCGTTCCGCACGGCTACATCCAGCCCCTCGCGCAGCTCGCCCAGCGCGGGGCCCACAGCGCGGTGATCATGTACGACCAGCTCGGCTGCGGGCGCTCGACGCACCTCGCGGACAAGCCAGGCGCCTTCTGGACCGTCGAGCTGTTCATGGACGAGCTCGAGCACGTGCTCGCGCACTTTGACATCGGCGCGGACACCCGGTTCGCGCTGCTCGGGCACTCGTGGGGCGGCATGCTCGCCGCGACGTACGCCGCGCACCGGCGGCCCGCGCACCTGCACCGCCTCGTCATCTCCGACTCGCCGGCGTCGATGGCGCTGTGGGTCGAGGGGTGCGGCCAGCTGCTGGCGCAGTTCCCCGCGGGCTTCCGCGCGCTGCTGGCCCGCCACGAGGCGGCCGGGACGACCGAGAGCCAGGAGTACCAGGACGCGCTGCAGGAGTTCTACAGAAAGCACGTGTGTCGGCTGGAGGTCTGGCCCGAGGATCTGAACCAGGCGTTTGCGGACCTCGCAAAGGATCCGACGGTGTACATGACGATGTGCGTGCAAAACCCACTAATCGCGTTGGTACTATGTACATACTCACCCCGGGCCGGTGCCAACCAGGAATGGGCCGTCCGAGTTCACGGTCACGGGCTCGCTCAAGACCTGGTCCGTCGTCGACGAGCTGCAGCACATCACAGCCCCGACGCTCGTGCTCAACGGCCGCTTCGACGAGGCGCGCAACCTCGCCGTCGCGCCGTTCTTCACGCACATCCGTGGCCCCGTCAAGTGGGTCGAGTTCGCCGAGAGCAGCCACATGCCGTTCTACGAGGAGCAGGAGCGCTATCTCGAGGTCGTCGCAGAGTTCCTGGCTTAGTAGGTTCCGTAGCTAGCACGTCCAAGTCACATCCAAGGGTTTCATAAGTGGTAGTAGGTGGTAGTCCAAAGAGTTATCGCGATCACGTGGCTCGCGTGGAAGTACGCGCGATGTGTGTCAAACCATGTTTGTATCTGATGGAGAGCCTCCTGCATGTCTGGTGTGCTGGACCTTCCTCGCTTGTGGTACGGTGTTTCCGAGTATGGCAAGATCGTGGATGTGGAAGCCGAGATGCCGGACAAGAATTCAAAGAGCAAGACCCAAGATCGTTAATTCCTGGCCCGCAAGTATATGACAGCACCTGACCCGAGGCCAGTAACGACCGGGACTAGAAGGGCCTGAGCGACGAGGAGGGAAGAAGCGGCAGATTCAGGGTCGGCGGCCCATTATCGCTCTCGATTCGGTCGACGGCGACGTCGACCCTGGAGTCATTGGCCCAACGAGACAGCACGTGAAGCAAGTGTCGGTCGAGGACCAGAAGGCGCTGGCGGTCAAGATCGTGACCGTGCCCTGCGCACGTGTTGCCATCACCGTCAACGAAGCTGAACGCGGCGACGAAACGGATCCGAGATTCGGGCGACGACGACAAAGCCGTACCAAAATACGTACGTTGGTCCTGTCGCAGTGGACGTCCTGCCTGAACATCGTATCGGACTTTTCATGTAGGAGGGGATCGCCGACGGCAACATGTCGGTCGAGCAGCGTAACGAGGCTGTGCAGGTGCCGGTGTACGAGGTGAGCGCGCGCGCCATGTCCGCGTCTTTCAAGTGTGGCAGGGAGCCCTCATCTACGCCAAAAGTCTCGCTGCCTTGATGGCATCGTTTCCCGTACACAAGCCGCAGACATCGCTTGGACCAGCAGCGCGAAACGATACGTGATCATGAATACGGACGAGGACCCGCACTCTCGCCCCTCCAGGAGCGGAACCAGAATCTGGCCGACGGTTCGCTCGGCGAAGGCGGCAAAGGCAGGAACTTGATGGGTCGCATGACTGTTCGTCAGCTCAGCAGTTTGTTCGGCTCGGATGCCCGCGAACAAGTTTCCGTAAAGCAGATTCAGTTGTTTCAGATGTACAGAGCGCACTTGGAGACTTGGTCCCTGTAATTTCTCGATTTCTGACTGGTAATTACGGCACTGGCTGACCTGGATTATAACTTACTGTATTGCATCGCACTTGTGCCTGTTTGGGAGTGGTACTGTACCTGTTTGGAGCATGTCCACACATCCTTAGCGCTTGGAGCAAAGTGTGCGTCTAAAAAAAAGGAAGAGACCGAAAACTCCGATTTGTTGGCTGCCGAACAGTCGTTTCGCCACGCCCCTGCTGTGCAGTCGGGCTCCCTCCGTGTGCCGTAGGGGGCCAAGAGCGTGCGTGACCGAACTTTGCGTGCTTCTTCCTCTCGAGCCTCCGCACCCGTGGCGAGCCTAAACCGGGGAAGCCCGCCGTGCGGAGACCTCCGTGGGGCGCTTACCGCAGCGGAGGATTCTCCACCTCCGTCTTGCTTCGCTTCTCTTATGTACGCTCGCCGAAGCGAGAGCCGATCCTCCGCTGATCGATGAATCCTAAGTATTATTTTCCTGAGTGGGGTATATAAACCTCGACCGCCGCAAGCGGGGTGGGCCTCAGCTGGTGTCTGCAACAGCCACTCGGACACAACACAATGTTCGCCCAGATCTTGACTTCGCTCCTGCTCGTCCACGGCCTTTTTGCGGTCGGTTCCCCCATACATGGCCATCCGCTCGAGACTGACTATGCCCGCGCCCCCCAGACCCAGCTGAAGCCAGGGCAGTACCACGTCGTCAACCTCGCGCACCCGTACGCGCCGGTCTCCGTCGACGCGCCTTACAGCCGCGTGTACGTCCCGCCCGCGTTCTCGGGGGGCCACAGCCTCGTACGTCCACGCCCACGCGCTGTGCAGAGCCCCACGGCTGACGAGCAACATGCTGCAGTGGGACGTCCTCACACCCCCGGGCGCGCTCGACGGGATCACCATGCACAGCGTCGATGCTGGCCGGTGGGCGCAAGTAACCCCTGGACAGGTGATGCGCTCCTCCGCTCCTCCGCATCGCCGTAAATAGCATTAACTCACTCGATCTGCTTCTCGCGCGCGCAGGGCCAGTACATCGGCACGACCGCCAACAGGTCCAGCACGTTCGCGCTTGTGCTGTCCGGGACGGCCGACTTCCCGGGCGACGGCGGGATGATCCCCGACTCGCACATCGACTACTGGACGGTGAGCCAGCCAAAACCCCAACCACTCTCCTCGTCCGCCGACGCTCATCCTCCCTATTTTGCGCGCAGATTGGCGCACCGGACGGATCGGTGTGGACGTACAACCCTGACGCTGGATCCGAGGCAAGCGGCCGTTTCCTGCTGCAGCGATTGAGCATTGGCGCTGAAATCACATCATTCCTGCTAGGTGCTGCTGCTTCCGCCGACGGCAGACAACTCCGCGAGCCAGTTCTGGATGTTCGCGGCCCCGGGCGCCATTCCGTTTCTTCCGCGCGATCTCAGCGAGACGAGGGAGCTGGGTTTCTTCAGCCCGGCAGTCGATTTCGACGCGAACAGTGATAGTTTGTAAATAGTTGAAAATGAACTTTAATTATCCGAATCGGGATCTGATCCAACAGTCTTTGTCACCTACCAGTCACGTGGATCGCGTTTCTATCCGCACTGTCACTGAGACTCGCACTATGATGGACGATTCGTTTGAGCTGTACGATCTGCGCGTCGAAGTCATATGCCCACCCGGAGAGCGCATTCTCTGCGGTGCCAAGCCAGGGGACCACTTCACGCTCGAAGGGGAGATGCTGCATCTACCCCCCGGTCAGGGCTTCTCCATCTACTCGCTGTGCAAGTCGTGCCATTACCTGCGTCGCCAACATGTAAGCTGACCTCCCGTCAAGCGGCAGTCCTCCCGCTCCTCGCTGCGAAACAGCGCGTCTCACACGCGAACGACTGGATCACGACGGACACCGACGTCGCCTGCCCAGACCCGAACTGCAAGTCGGTCCTGCGCATCACGAGGACCGGCAGACGCCTGTTCAGACATGGGGACGTCACCGCAGTCCCGCTTCCGCCTAAACCTCTCAGTCTGATTTGGCTGCACATGCTACGTAGATCCTGTCCAATCAAACGCGTTGCTCCGCCAGCCACCCTTGACCCGCTCGAACTGCTCCCTCTCCTCCTTCCTGCGCTCCGCCCGGTCGAATTCGCTTCTCGCACGCAAGGCCTGCTCCTCCGCTGCTGTAGCGGTGTCCTTCGCTTCCCCACGAGCTCGCGGGCTCCGTCCACGACCGTATCCAGCACCGACGGGCCGGCCGATTCCGGGACGCCTTTGTTGGGAAACAGCTGCGCTCCTCCGCCCACTGCGAGCACCGTCTCCTCGACCGGATCGTCGTCGTTCTCGGGCACGGTCATCGTCGTGTGAATGATGCCTTTGAATGTAGCGTCTGTGTGCGACGTCGACGTGCCAGTGGGCTGCGTCGACGGCGAGCTCTCGAAGAACGCGGGTGCCGTGGTTAACGCAGCTGCGTAGTAGTCCTGTATCGTGGGGTCTTCGTTCCTTCTTGCTCCGATCCGCACGGCCTCTTCAGTCATCGCAGTCACCAGCCGATCCGCCCACTCAACGGCACTGTGTACTTGTTGCTCTAGTACTGACCGCAGGACAAGCCGGACGACGGGCGCTGAGAGCGGTTGGAGGAGCAGGGTGTTGAGGATGGAGTGTCGACTATGTCGGATGTTGAACGCCAGCCCTGGAACGTCGACCGTCACATCTCGGACCTTGAAGAGCGGTTCTCCCGGCGTCCTCCGCTCTTCGTCGATGGTCTCGATATCCACATCCAGCACAATTCCCTCGCCGCTGGCCCCCGGTGTCCAATTTCGACGTCGATGATGCCCTCGTCAGAATATCGCAGGAAGAGAGCGGCCCCTTGTAGTCGACAAAGTACCCGAATCCGTGTGCAGAGCACCGCACTCCCTCGACCCTTGCCCTTGTCCGACTGGAGGCCTGAAGCACAGCGTCCGGGACTGTCATATCCAACTTGAATTCATTCCAGTTTTGCACGAGCACGGAGTCGGGCGACAGCGACGCACTGGTCGACGACGGTGTCAGCAGCACTGCGTCGACCGCAACATCGAGCGTCTTTGACTTGTACTCCACCCGGGCATCGGCAAGTTCCGGATGTTCTTGAGCACTCGCGGGATGAGCCAGCGGAGGAGCCTGCTCCTCAGCGTGTCCCGCCACGACCCTCTACCTCTCACGCTAAGGAACATATCTTCGGTGGCGGCGACGGTGTGCTGGATGGCCTGTAAAAGCTGTCGCGTGCTCTTGTCCGTCTGGAGCGCATCAGAGAAAGCCTGTGCCTCCGAGACCATCTGCCGGAAATCCCGTGCCCATCGTGCATTTTCCTGCGCCGCGAGCAGCAGCTTGCCCGTATCGTACAACTCCTCCGCCCCACGCTTGGCTTTCGCCGATCGAGCAAAGGACGGGTCGCTCAGTGCCCGTTCGAACCAGACTCCCACTACGGAGAGGTACTCGCGCAAGTCAGAGTTCGGCGCTGCTAGCACATCTGTAATAGCCGCCTTGAACGAATGCAGCAACGGGTCTAGGGAGTGGTGCGAGGCGAATCGCTCGAGGAGGATCTTCAGGTCTCCCAGTGCTTCAGCGAAGGACTCTGACATATCGATCTCAGCGGAAACCGCAACATGTTCGTCAGACGCTGCTTTTGTCAACGATCCCAGCTTGTCTGAGTATTTCTGCAGCAGCCGCAGCACCGTGGACATCGCATCCTTGTATTCAGGACGGCTTTGGATCTGGCTGACAGACTGTATCCACCGTCAGTCGGCAGGATTCATTCATGAATATATGACATGGAAACGCACGAGTTGTATTCGTTCAATGATGTTCTCCTTGACTCGTTCCGCAGATTGCAGACCCACGGCGGCAATGTCGTCCTGAGCACGCTCTGCCGCTTCTTTCACCTCGAATACCGCTTCTCTGCTTGGCTAGCCGCATTTCCGTCACCGCCGGACCCAGTCGTGGCCACTTGGGCAATGCTGAATGCGGCAGCCTCCACGTTGGCCGCGGCCTGCCCGATTTCGGACGCGGTTTCCGCGACGATCTCGCGTGTCGTAGTGAGGATATCCGAAACCAGGATGCGGAACGCGCTTTCGGTGAGCAGGAGGCGAGTGAGGGGCTTGATGGATGCGACTAGCCGCGCAGTATCCCCCGGGATCTGTTTGTGCGGTCTTTCTGTCTAAGTTGGTTAAGCAGAGTGCGTTGCCTGGGCCTATGTCCTCGACGCACCGATTTTGACCGGCGCTCCGTTGACTGTGACCTCCGCGTTGAGCTGGATTGGCACTTCGTCGTTGGCATCATTCAAAGTCCGTGTGAGGCGTGGTAGTACAGCTCCTGTATCTTGTC